AATAAATGTCATTACTCTAGCTAATTTTTTTGTTAACTGTTGGATTAGGATTATTGTGAACGCCATAGGTGATAAAATATATGTACTACATTTTCTACAAAGAAACAAACATGTATATAATTATTAAACCTCGACTCAGTGTTAGATAGTTAATATGACAACAAGTAAGACATTCCACATTCCAAAGGTAATACAATTTATAATACTCAAAATAGTATTTGTAATGAATGGAAAAATAAGAAATACAATCAAATGTAAGCCAGTATAAACACTATGAATATAACTAAAAACCAACCTGTATATATTTTACATGTGTGTGCGTGATTCTAACAATTGTTAGATCGATCTAGCCGATTTAATCGATTAACCGATTATTTTTAAAAATTAAAGATAATCGATAAATAGTTCAAGAAATCAATTTTTACGTGTACTATGTAGTATCACAGATTAATGAAACATGATAAAATATCTTTTATCATGATGAAAAATTGAAAACGTTAACTATTGATCTATTTATATCTTAGATACAAAATTTGTATTTAATTAATATTGATAAATATAATTACATTATTACAATAAAGACAATACTCAATACCTATTTAGTTTATTTAGTATTTATATAATATAATACTATATAATACATAGTATTTATATTTTACTTATTTAATTTATATCATGTGTGAAGTGTGGTAAGTTTTCATTAAAACTGAGTGTGGTGTACGTATCCAATGTCAAATATGTAAAAAGACGTACTCCAATTCACACATGGTCAATCAACAGTTAAGATATTAATCAATAATAATCGATTAATCGATTATTAAAAAATAATAATCGCGGACCCTTAGTGTGCATGTGTGTATTGCTTAATACAATAATCAATTTAAATTAAAATTAAAAAATTAAATATTTTATTTGGTAATGTTTATCAATAAAATCATTTTTAATGAGTTTATATATATATATATATATATATATATAGAATATTTTGCAATTAGAACTACAAAATCGCTAAAGGAACCTCTTATATTAATTAAATAATTTCAGCAAAATATGCACTGAATATGATTATTTCAGTAAATTTTCGTTTTGGACTTAATAAAAAATGTATACTGCATAAAATATCGTAGAATAAATTTTAAATTTTCGCCACAAAATGTATTAATAAAATGTATTACGATCAATAAATATATTTAAATAATATTTTGTGCAAGTGTTTTAAATACAGTATTCTGAATATTTTTTTAACGTTCAATCCCATTTTCTAAACGATTTTATAATATTTCTATATAAATCGCATTTGTACACAAATTTTTTATTAATATTTTATAGTAATATTAAATTATTTTGCTTTCTACTAATTTTATACAATGGTACAGTTAAAGTTGAATAAAGATGAATAATTTTCGTAGATAAATTTTTTTAACTGGTCTAAAAACCAATCGAAAGTGGATCCCTTCTTAGCAGTGGCAGTTTTTTTAATTTTTTCTGGGGATGCTCCTTTTATATTATATTGTAATATATGAAGATAAAAATAGAAGGTAAAATATAAATACCTAAATAGGCAGTAGCTGTAATAAACGTTCAAATTTACGGACATACAAGTAGATATGATTGAAATCACGAGATTCGTATATAAGCGTATAAGTGTATATCCGCATATAAAATATAATACATCACAACCTAAACGCGTGATCTGTGGGAGGAATCCAGACCTCTTGGACTCACGCCCCCCGTAAATCTGCCACTGCACTTTTTTTTGTCAAAAACTCATACAAAAAATCTATATACATTGTTTAAACATCCACAGTTAAAAATGTGTTTTCAAAATTTAACACACCACTGATAACAGTGCTGCTACTGAACTCATATTTGGCATTTGTGAGACTTAAAAAAAAAGAGATTGAATGAATGACAAACAAATTGAAAATGTATTGATGTTAAAGTGTATAGTTGTTAAATAAATATTAATTAAACATTTATTTTCCAATTTTTTTATATTTATTTATTTATTTGTTTGGTATTAAACGGGCAAGGCCTTATTACAATAACAACAACATTACAATCATTTTGGCAAGATAAAACATACTAGAGTTAATAATAATAATAATTATATAAGTAAAAGCAATAATATATAGGTGTAACAGAAAGAATTAATCGATATAACTATAATTATATATTATATATAATTAACTATGTAATAATTTTTATTTTCGAGGACTTTTGAGTAATTTTATTTTTTACTTAGATATTATATGATTTTTGTTATTTGTATATTTATTATATATTAAAATGTAATTTTGATAAAAACACGATTATGTACATATTTAGGATATACGTCAGTCAATTCTTCCGATTACGCATTATATACGAGTACAAGTATGCAAATACTAATAAGTGTATTAATATAATACGAGTAACTGTATAAAAATATATAAATATATATATTATAAATTATATTATTCTGTCCATTCATAAATATTGAGTTGGAAAAATTAATAATTAAATAAGATTTGAAATATTCTTTTTCTCATCGAAGTTTTCAATAAAAAAATAAATATTCTAAATATATTTTGAATATTCATAGTGAAGTATTCCAAATACTTATGGAATACTATCATTATAAATTATTTTAATACGTATTTTAAAACCTTTTTTAAGCATTTTGAATATGTATTCAAAATACTTTTAAAATTATTTAACTCAAGTCTGATAAGCATGGCTATTCGTGTTTTAAATACAATGTATGTGTTTGTGTGTGATATACGTGGGAAAAATATATTTTTATTATTTTTTTGTAACAAAAAAAAATGAAACAGAAAATGAAATAAAGTTAGGTGAATATACGAACAGAATATAAAAGGAAAAGTTTTTCTCCGAAAAGCACAAGCTTGTTGAGTAGACAATAGCTCATATTTAAAATTATATTTATAATTAATTAATTATATAGATATTCACATGTTAATATATTAAGTACAATTGAACTATTTAATGTCTAAAATATGTAAACATAATATTAACCAACAATATGATAGCAAATAATCGGATTTTATAGAAATAATCGACTAAATTTACTATAGTAAATTAATAAATAATAAAGTTTTATAGTGTTGAACATTTGTGTTTTCTTTCAACGTGAGAGGATTTATTATGTAAATAAAATCAATAGATACTGTGGAATTTGCATTCTTAAGTCAGGTTAAGCACATATATATACAGAATCATTTCTCAAGTGCTCGGTGTAGTAAACATGAAAAATGCATCTAATAGTTGTCGTAATTTTATTAAGTAGCTCAATGACGTTAATGAGCTCAAATGAAATCATGAAAATATTAGAAATACGGTTAATGACACAATTGCGTTGGGCCGACAATATTTTATGCATGTATATAAGAAGATTGAAAAAAATATATATAAGAAGATTGCCGATGGACTGAACAGACCAATAAATAAAATCGAAGAGTTATTGGTTTTTAAACGTGGTTGTCGGCAAGACCGATGAGAGTGAGAACTAGGTAGTACCTATACAGGTATAGTTTATCTTATTATTTTTACTTTTTTATGTCTGGACCTGTATGAAAGATTATATTATAATTTATACATGAAAAACGTGCACGACAAGTTGACGCCCACGGTCTCGAGACTAAGAGTTTCCGAGGTCTACCCACCGTGGTGCTAGGCTGTACACGGCAACTGTATACATTATTTATAACCTTGTTGTCCGATCGGCGGTCGAACGATAGGCCATGTAACAACCCAAAAGTGAAGCAGGAGAGGGTGAGTTATTGCACACGGATCTCGGTCTTGAATCCAAGAGCAGACCAGGTCATCCGTATAATACGTACAACTACTGATGTTTAAAGACTTACCTCGTTGGCCGTCGTTTAAGGAATTTGAACGAACGACACGCGATAAATATATTCAAAATATTCTTGATTACCGGCGAGATCGATTCAGCAATCACACGAATGTTTTCGTTTCTCAATGCTAAAAAGTATGGATTTAGATAAGCCCATGTGCACACAAACGTATGCCAAACTCTTGTAAAGAAAAGAGTGACCCATTGCGTATTGGTGTTGGAGACGGACTGCACTACGAGTGTCCATTATTATGATTTATTATTATTTATTATTATTATTATATTTACACAAACTTTTGAACTCACGTAAAGGCTCGTTGTTGACAAAGGATCTGAAGATATTGTTCTTAGCCCTGGACCGACGGTGGTTTATTCATAGGATTTGAAATGTTTATGTTGTTTGAGACGTCTCTTCTCGTCGCCGCGATCTCGTAATGTATCGAGCAATGTTATTCACATTTTTCAAATCCTATTGCGATAACAGCAGTGCGTTGGAGAGTGGCGACATTAGACTTTAAACTTTATTCTTTATTTTTATTTATAAGACTTGTATCGTCCGTGTTCGTGCCAAAGGAATTCCGCTGTTCATCAATAGTGTATTACAAATCGTAAAATATTATAATATAATTATTGTGCAACGCACATTGAGCCCCACGATGTAGTCACGTCGTGCGGCCCAAGGGCGTCCATCGGGGGTAAGGAAGACCGAGGGGACACGTCTTTTCCGCGTCTATTACACATTTACACGTAAAACATTGCAACTGTCGGTTTGCATAAAATTATTATTTTCATCTAATCACATTTGCCACGGACAAAACTTTACCACGCGGGAGAACGAATCATGAGAACCTACCATATAATATCGTTTTTAAAATTAAATAACAAGTTCCCCCTGTCATGTGAAAATGTACATAGTATTTTAATCCTTAATTTCAATATAATGTTTAGTTGGTACTTTTATCGTAATATAAACAGAATAATAATAATAATAATAATTTAATAATTGATAATATATCGTTGACGCTTTGATGATAAAGTATAATATTCATTTTTACATAATTTAAGTATAATAGAAAAATATGGCATACTACTACACTAAAGCGTTTAATGAAATATATTTTGGCTTAACGAAAAAAATTGCTAGGGTCCCGTAACAAAATCTGATCCGGGCCCCGTAAAACCTCCCACCGGTGCTGCGCCCTAGGCAGCGACACGACGACACATTTGTTTGCTGTGTGGTTCCAAGCCGATCCGGTGGACCGCTGTCGATACCGCCAAGAACGACAGAAATGGACGTGGAACGGGTGCAGACCGACGGGGATCGGGACAGCGGGTCGTCGTCGTCGGACGAGGAATTCGACGGTAGCGACGGATGGCAGGAGATGGGATTCTGTTCCAAGGCGGGGCACTTCGCGCGGAACATCACGGTGGAACCGCTGATGACGCTGTTCCAGGTGTCGTCGGTGCTGTCCAGCCTGACCACGCAGAACTTGAACCTGCAGAAAGCGTGCCGCGTGAACCTGCGGCTGGACGATCACGTGTGCGCCGGGCTGGAGAACAAGAACATGTCGCTGTACGCGGAGCAAGAGGTCCAGGTGCAGCAGATGGTGGCCGATATGCTCATCTGGCAGACGGTGTTGCAGAGCACCATGCCGTGCGTGCTGGTCGTGTTCATCGGGTCGTGGAGCGACCGGAACCGGAAGCGCAAGCCGTGCATGCTGGTCCCCGTGATCGGCGAGCTGATCCGCAACGCGGGGCTGCTGCTGTGCGTGTACTACTTCGACTGGCTGTCCATGGAGGTAGCCGGCTTCGCGGAATCCGTGCCCACGTCCATCACCGGCGGGCTGACCGTTCTGTACATGTCCGCGTTCGCGTACATCGGAGACATAAGCACGGTGAGTGGAGAACGTGGTCGTTTTACCGGCCACTGTAACACGTTACGTTTTAAAACGTAAACGCAAAAATATAAAATAATAATTACGGTATATTACAGAATGCGCGAATCTGGTGCAACTGTATGTTGTGACGCGATCAACGATATCCAAATAATTATTTTTATACGCAGTAGAATCCGCTTATAACGATCTAAAGGGACCTAAAGAATCGGATCGTTGTATCCAAAATTCGTTGTATCCGGATGACATATAAAACCGACCAAATACATGGCTAGGAATCGTTTTAACCGAAATATCGTTGTATACGGCATCGTAATAAGCGGATTCTACTGTACTTATTATTAATCATCGTCTATACACATTTTTTAGAAATCATTTTTTGTAGCGTAAGGATGCCTATTTGGAAAAATATCTTGCCCAAATTTTATTGAAATTATAGATACACGATTAATATTATTTCTAATGTCCGTATATACATTTATCATTAAAATCTTTTATTTGTTCATTTTTTTAATATAATATGGAACCGATTTATTTTCGTTGAAAAGTTTGTAGATACTTATTTGTCACACGTTAAATCAGAGAAACAAAATAAAAATTAAAAAAAATTAAAATAAAAATACTACAAAATAATTTCCACTACATTTTCATTACACCGTAAAAATTATAATGAAATTACGTAACACATTATTATAAAAGTAACGTCGTTACATTAACGCGTTACTTTCCGTTACATTACTACCCAACACTGTTGGAAACCGTAAGACGGTAGCAAATGGATAGTTGGATTGTCATTGGTAAAGAATCTTTCAAGAAATTTGAATCATATTATTTTATCAATTTTTCTCGCATGAAAGCTTACATTTTTCCAGCTAATGTCTGATTTCGAAAAGTTTGACAAATACGTGTTATAATTATTATAACGTGTAACCTACAAACATTACTATAAGCGTGGACAGATGTAACTGGCAAGGTAATCAAACATAATATATTAACATTTCATTTCAACAACATGATGGAGTAACGTCATTCAACTCAATAATTCCATTTTTCCAGTATTCTTATATTTACCGCTTACGGACGTGTCGAAGTGGTCGAACATAATATGGCGATTTATTATCTTGATATTTTTTTATATTTGATATTTTAGTGGGGGGAGGAAGTTCGCAGAGAATTCAACCGCTTACCTTGATCATCCCGTGCACACGTTATGAATATAACTAATACATTTGTCTTGCATCGTAATTTTACTTTGTTTTGTAGTAGTTATTATGGTAACCATAATAATATACAGTTACCCGGTTAAAGCAATAGTGCTTAAAAATTCATAACGATCCTAGATATCCTAAAAATCATCGTTAAAATTGACAAAAACTAGACTAATTATGTAGTTTTTCTCCAACTCTACAGTCCATAGAAAATTCTCTTACATATACCTTAACTTTCGGTGCCCCGGCTAGATTATCTTTTGTATATTACACGTTTCTTCGACTAATTAAATGTTAAATAAAATAGTGCCAAAAACTATAGCATAAAACCACCAACATAAATATACTAAGTAATAATTGTCACTGAATTCATTTGTTTCTATCACACAAAAAGTAATTATGAAATTATTCTACCGGTGTTTACGTTCAAAGAATTGAATGATTTTTGGAAAATACGTACACGAATAAATATCAAAATACATGGTATGTTCAGACTTGACTTAACAATTATTCTAGCAACATCATATAATAATTACATAAACTAATCTAAAGGTCACTGTAAACAACTGATGAGCCACAATAAAATAAAATCTTGACTGAACGTTTATCGAATTCATAGAATTTTATATGTATTTTTTGAGAAATTCATTTTTTCAGACAAGTTTAATAAATTAGATAACGATAAATAAAATATTATACCATAAGATTGTCGTTTACCGTTTAAATATGGAATCGTCTTTTTTCATTTTGCCTTTTAGGTAAAAAATCGAACTCTTAGAGTAGGCCTCATGAATTTGTTTTTTGGTGCATCTTGGCCTATCGGTGCAGCGCTTTCCGGCATCTTGTTTCAACAATATGGATTCTATGGAGTGTATTATATTTCTTCGGCTTTGTACATCGTCGCTCTTCTGTACGGGATGATTCGTATCAAAGAGCACGAAAATTCATCAAAAGGAAAAGATCCCTTTCAGACGTCCAAGTCTTGCGTGTCTCTTTTTAGCGATTTTTTCAATTTAAAACACATCAAAGAAGCATTAAACGTGACGTTTAGAAAAGGCCCCAGAAAGAGATGGCTTCAACTTACAATGCTAGTGTTTACAATTGTAGTTGTGCAAGGTCCAATACAAGGTTAGTATAAAACATAACTTTTTGCAATACGTTAAAAATTTTGAAAACTCATTGTACAACCGTCACAGCTTACTGTTTATATAGATTTGTAAATCAATATGTATTTATATATAAACTAAGTTTCCTCTCTTGTTTGCAGTTGATAGCTAGAGTATAACATATATATATATTACAACAATACAATTATAGTTTTTAATTTTTTCGACTGTAATTCCTACTTATTTACTTACTCAAACCCTCAGCTAAATATCATATTATATAATTTTAAAATGCATTCATTTTAAATATAAATAAACTATAATTCAGTTATAATTCAGTTAAACCAATGGTTTCAGGTGAATTTGCGATTGCCTATTTGGGCGCCCGATTACGTTTCCAGTGGAATGAAGTCGACTACAGTATATTTTCAACATTTCTCTCTATACTGAACATTCTAGGCAAGAACAGTTATTCATTACTAATTGAAGAGAAACATAAAGATATTAATATAATGTATTTCAATTATTATATTTGAATAGGAGTTGGAATCGCGGTAGGGATTTTAAGTCACTTGTTCAAAATGGACGACGCACTAATTGGAGTGATTGCCTGCCTCAGTAAAGTATTATCAGGATTAGTCTTTGCATTCGCACCTTCTAAATTATATTTTTACATGGGTAAGCATGTAATATATTTTTGAAGTTAAAAAATGTTGTTTTGTACATGTAACTCCTATAATATAAATATTATACGCTAAAGAGGATGACGACACGGGAAATTAAATGTAACTCATAACTCGTGATCGTGTAATCTATAAAAAATAATAATAATTTTTTTAACAATTTTTTTTTTTTTTGTAGAAAACCTATATTGCGTGGGACAATACCATTCAAATTCATAATCGAAGCTCCTTTCTTTTTGTTTTAAAGCACAGAGAGAACATTATCTACGATGAAACGTTTTGATTTTTCCGATAACTAACTTCAAAAATACTATACAGCTAAACAAGAAACTTAAAAATTTAAATATAATAATAATAATTTCAAGTCCATTTTTATAGCGAAAAATAAAACGCTACATCACGAATAATGTTCTTCTCATTAAAGCAGAACAATTAAAGCATCTATTATGAATTTACGTTAAATGGTTTTGTCTCACTTAAAATGTATTTTTACGTTACAATTACTGGTGTATCACATCTTCTTAATATAATGCTTTTATCTATTTGTATACATATATTTATTCACCATACAATAATGTATTATTGTTTTTAACATGAACTCGACAACCAAATATACTACTGAAATTTAAACAAATTCTATTAGAATACCCAAAAAAATTACTTGTTATAAAATTAAATGTCGTTTAATCGAATATATTTTCTCTTAAATAATATTTCGTAAAAGTAAAATTCATCTATCATGAAAATATGTGTTCAGCTGATTTAGGTGTTCAAGATATTTTTGTTGACATTTTAATGAATTGAACACCAATTTTAATATTTACCCTTATAACTTTATCCTAAAAACTGTGGTTTCAAGAACTAAAGATTTGTCATAGTATTATAGTGAAATATTCCAGATTACACATTGGACATAACCCGTTACTAAACCACTCCTTCTAATTGGGGATTTATATTGTACACTTCCAACTGTGATGAAGATTTTTACGATTTTGATTATTTACTCTTTAACTGTCCTACTCTATCAATCAATATACATCAATAATCCTTCATCTAACAAATTCATCATTATAAAAGTTATTTTTAATTACATCCAGCAAATTAATTTGACAATTTAAAAGTATGAGCTTTACAAGTAATCGTATTTTCTAAAAATGATTTAAATAAGTTCTATTTTCTCATTTTAATAATTATAATTTAGTGTTATTCTTATTATTATTATTTTCATGTTTATATTAATTGTTGAAATATAGTATAATAATAAAATGTTAGCATATCTTAAAAAATTCCTTATTAAATTAAATGTACACAGTAGTTAAAAAAATAACAAAGCATTTTTTTTTATTTCAAAAAATAATTAAAAATATAGATTTCATTCAGTGAGATGCTTAAATATAAGTTTGATTTTTTTATCAAAAATATTATACTATACTATTATAATTAATAAAATATATTCAAAATTTTCAGTTTAAAGGGGACGTTAGGGCCGATGATTATACTTTTCATCAAGTTAATTTCATTATTTTTATGTAACAGAAAGCTATTATAAATCGCCACATTTAAAACACGTTTCTAATTGAAAGCCCTTCATTGTACTATTGTACATTCTACATCTTATAAAACATGTGATTCTTAACTAATAAATATGTTATCCTATATAGTTGTATAATCATAACCAACTATTTTCATTAGCAAAAAAATTATTATAATATGGCAATAACAAAATTATTAGTTTTAAGTTTAATGATAACATTGATAAGTGTTTTACCAGACTACTTTTAAAAAAAGTTAAAAAATAGAAAAAAAACCAGTTGGTCCAAATGGTTTTTCCATTTTTTCTATTTGTACCGTAATAACTGTAGAAAAAATAACTTCTCTAAATAACAGTCTAAAATTTTTTTTTTTTATAATTTGCTCATGATTTAAAACATTTAATATAATTTATAAGTGATTATTATTTTTATACGTTGCGTACTTACATATATATTACTTACATATAGGTGCTGTCGTTGATTCAATGAGCAGTGTTTCGTACGTTGTGGTGAGATCGATCGTCTCTAAAACCGTACCTCAAAATGAAATCGGTATCTATAAATAATGAATTTCAAACGAAATTGAACACTAATTCACTAATTACATTGTTGTCAGGTCAAGTGTCAGCAGTCATAGCAGTCGTCGAGACAATAGTACCTGTTATTTACAAGCCTCTATACAGTTCAATATATAGAGCCACCGTACACACGTTTCCTGGAGCGTTCTACATAGTCGGCTCCATAATGCTCACCCCCTCCATATTTCTATACTGGTAATATTAAAAAATATCTCCGATTTAATATAATTATTGATACATCTTCTTCTTCTCTGAGTTCCTATCCGTTCCGGATGTTAGATATCATATTGGCAATGCCAATACTGTTAAGTGATGCCCAAAATAAATCAATTGATGTTGTATTGTACCAGTCGCGGAGAATCTTCATCCAAGATATTCTTTGATTTATTCTTTTAATTTATTTATCTTCTTCTAACACTTATTTTTCCTTGTAATATAAACTGGAATATATTGTATCGTTGATTATTTCTCATAATGTGTCCAATGTATTCAAACTTCCGATCTTATATTATAGTTAATAGTTTCTTCTGTTTACTCATCCTTTCAAGTACCTTTTGGTTAGTAATTATATCTGCCCATGACATTTTTAACATACAACCACATTTCAAAGGCATCAATTTTTTTGGATGTTAACTCTGTTAATGTCCAGGTTTTAACTGCATATAATAATACAGAGAACACATAACACCTTAATAGTCTGATTTCTGTTGCAAAAGGCAAATCGTGGCACTTGAATAACTTCGACATTTTTCGAAATGTTTCCCTAGCTTTTTCAATTCTTCATTTTATTTCTAATGAATGATCCTAATCTTCATTTATTGTTGTTCCGAGGTTGGATACCTGAATATTGATACATAAAAAATACATATTATTCAATATATTTCGTTTAAGCCTGATTCACATTATAGATAATGCAAAGGTTCTATCACCTTACAGTCTCGGTTAAGTCGAATATTATTCAACTAATTTTAAATCGGAATGTTCACATTGTAAGCATTATCGGTTATGTGAACATTCCAATTTAAAATTAGTTGAATAATATTCGACCTAACCAAGACTTTAGGGTGATCAAACCGTTGCGTTACCTAAAGTTTGAATCAGACCTTAAACTGTCAGAATAATAATCATTGTTTATTATTATCAATTACTCACAATATGTTTTCCATGTATGAATTATTCTCTACGTACCACTTGAGAATAACATCACTATTAAAAACCAATTTCATTAGTAAAACCGTTAAGAAATATAACGAACAAAAGCATTACATAACTTTTTCATTCTGATAACGATAAGTAGTTCCAGATATTATGATTTTCTCGGAATATTTTCAATGCAATAAAACACATTAAATATTTGTGATCGATATGAATCTATACCATGTTACATTGTAATAATTTTTAGTAGTCAACAGCAATTAAACTTTAAATAGGTATATTAAAATAACTTATGATCGCAACAATTATTTAATTTTTTGTAAACTATTTTCAACATACTTGAAATCATTTTACCACGCGCATTTACACTTACGCAAATAATATTCATTATTCGTTCGTTTCACGAAAAAGTTGACTATATATGTTACTTTTTTAAATCGTTTAAAATATTCGAAAGTATCAAAAACAAATGACTAATTAAAAAAAAATTCATTTACACAATCCAATTGCACCCATATTATATACATTATGTGTACCGTGTCTAAAATAAAGATAACATTTTTTCTATAAAAACATGTTCAAATTATATTATATAATTCTCATCTAAATCATTTTCGTAGAATGTTTACATTACAATTTATAATTCAATCAAATTAACTATTTAAGCAAAGTTTTCATATTTTATTATCAAAAAACTTAAAATAAATGTTTCAAAACCTATTAAAAAATTGTGTTTTGTAGCGTTTATTTATTTTTGGAATATTGATAAGAAAATATTTTTGTTGAATAACTAAACTAAATGAATATTTTACAGGTGGATGTATCGATTAAATAAATTAGAACCTAAGAAAACATTTGTTACTGAAAGAGAGACATTGAACACCTAATTTCAGACTCAAAACTAATCCATAAAAACAATCGTTATACTTTATACACATTTTTTTTTTTAATGATTTTTTTAAAATTATTTTCAATCAAATAATTATCATTTTGTATGTTTGTGTGTTTTTTTTTTAAATGTTTGCGATATTTTCCCGACAATATTTTTATACTAAATGTTATCAATTAAAATTTTATATACATACTGATATTTATATTTGTATAATAATTTCTTCATTATTTATTTCATAAAGTAGGTAAAGTAAATTATGTGCCGGACAATAAATATTGTTAGGTCGATTCTTGTATATAATTTCACCGTCGCATGTGTTCTTATTTTTACTAGGATATGTACCATTACCGTTCGGCACAAGATTATACTCGTATTTATGCATTATTTTCAAATAATTATATGTTATGTAAATATAAATGTACTTTGTATTAGGTTCAAGCGAATGTTATTTTATTTGTATTGTATCCACTTAAGATTCGGTACTTTCCGAATGAGTTGTTATGCTTTCTTAGTGTTTTTATATGTTCAACTACAGGTACCTCCAATCAAAGTATATTTCAGTTCACAAGTAGAAAGAGATATAATCAATAGCATATTTTCAAATTTTTATGGAGGAAAATTGAACATTTTTTCTAAAATATAACTGATTTATATAATATTATAAAAAAAATACATATAATACAATAATAATACATACGTAAGTAATTTATTTTTATATAATCATTATAACCACATGATTTAAATTAATATTCTCTTTCTCTGTACCTTCAAAACAAGCCATTTATTATAATCACCTACTTTTCTAATCGATTCAATGTAACGTACATCCAATGAACAGCATTTCCAATAAACAAGTTCTTTTAGGCTCAAGAAAAAAATAGTTATCTATTGTAGCATTTTTTTATTTCACAGCTCACCAATTATATTGCACTTTGTTAATTGTGTATATAATAAATTATCTATAATATTTATGTATTTTTCATAAATAAAATTGTTATATTTGTATTATAATATACTATTATATTCATATAACCATATATTTCCTATTAAGCTCACTCAGCATAAATAATTGATCAAAATTATATTAATTTTAAATGTATTATACCTAGGATATTAATACATAAATAATATTATATTATATGATAATATTAAAACGTAATCAAAATTGTTACTGCACAGTGACAAGTATAACATTTCAGACTAGTTTATTTATATAACACAATAGTTTAACTTACTAAGTATATAGTTATTAAATTAAAGAAAACTAGAATAGTTAAATTAAGTTAAAGTATTTACTCTTCTATAACAGTTTTGAATGTATGTTAATACCAATCAGTTATTTGTAACAACCATTTTGATGACTGTACATGACAAATTAAAAATAACAAAATTTGAATATTTTAGATCGGGTGATATACAGAGTTATGCATATGTACATAATGGGCGAATAATATTGATATATATTTGGTGATTGGTCTTTAAACCCTGAAGAAAAGTAATATTAATCTTCAAAAAATTATTCTGGGTGAAGGAGATTGGGAAAATTAGTTTATATTTTTAAGTTCGTCGATATAGTAATACAACCAAATATCTTAATAATATAGGTTGTTCTACTTTCAATTTTTCAATGTTCTACTTTAACAAATAAATACATTTAAAAAATTTAAAAAATCAAAAATTTCAAGTACCTAAAAGTGCACGAATTTCTTTAAAATATTTCAAAAATATAATGGCTTTAAAATGCTTTTTATCAGTTCTCAGTTAATATTACGAGTCACAACGATTAAAATTAATAGGATAACAACCATACAACTAATAAATTGTTGAATATATAAAATAATATAAATTTATGAACAATACAAATAAAATAAAATATGATTATATCTAAAAATAATAATTTATATATCTACGCTAGTTAATCTAGATACATGCATTAGAATATTTAATTTTTAATATTTTATTATATTAAATAGTTTTTTTTTTTTTGTATATAATTAATGTAAGTTAGACTAAAGTAGTCGAATCTTCCTTTGATCTAATGTTTTTTTTTTTCCAAAAATTACTTTAAAAGCATGAGGTACGGTTTCTTTTTTGTTTGTCCTTTAATTTAAATTAACTTATTATTTATCACCCATAAAATGGCAATTTTTTGAACAGTTAATATGCAAGTAGTGCATTAAATAATTCAGATTTGTATTAGTCAAACTTTCAAAAAAATATTTATATAAACATATACAAACTATTTTTCTTTGGTATATTAATAATGGTTCTAGAGCATTGGTTAAGAGACAGTTTTGCAATACTGAGGATAGTCCCGGATTCAAAGGCGTGTCTCGACCAATCATTCAGTTCGTCCCGGTTAATAGAAGCTGAGAGAAAATAACATTAATATTGTATTATTTAATAATAAAACGTAAAAGAGTATTATTCATTATATAATTATTTTATGGCTATCTAAAATAATTGGCATGGTTATATACAATAATAATGTATTTTATTTTTTTTTGTATTAGCTAATAAATATTTAAATAACAAAATTTTATACTTATTTCTGTTTCCATATGAACATTAAATCAAAAAAAAAAGGGTTATTTAATATGAAGTCCCGGTTTAGGAGTTTCAAAATCTGACAACCCCAATCATGTGAAAACAAATACATTCCTCATTTAACTCAAAATCTCATACACCAATTTTCATGGTCATTTACTGTGCAATACAGTTATAGTTTTACATTTTAAAATCATTATATGATTTAGCGAAATAGTTATATTTTTATTTTTTTATTGTTAGTACCTAATTTTTAAGTTTGTAATTTTTTAATGGCAATAAAATATTTTTATTAATTCGTTTTTTAAAGAAGAACGTTTTTCCAAATTTTATCGTTGATAAAAACCAATTATCTATAGTTAATTTAATGAATGTAAGCTATAAGTGTTCAAGTATTTGAAGTTTAGTTGGCCGAAGTATTTCTCTAAGACTTTGAGAAATATCCTCTGTCATAGTATTCCACTCGTTTAAACTGCTGTATATATTTAAGAATAATAACTACCGGCTTAGATGGCTTATGGTTTTCCGATCTTGAAGACGAGTATCCTGATCAAGTTGACAATTCACATGGGATTCGCAAGGAATAGTCACTGAATGCTGATTACATGAAAAAAAAAAAAATATTGTACCACGATTAACTCGATCAGTGAACGTTAGTGATGAAAATTGTAGACTAAAAAACAAGAGGAATCAAAAGAGACACTGGTGACCTTCATCATCCCACTCATAAGCCATGGGTGACAACATGATGCTACTTGGTATACTATACTTACAATATATTATTATGTGGACGATGTTTATGTAATATTTTTATGTTTATGAACCCTACACCTTCAAAATCAATAATTTTATGTATAAGAAATGAACATTATAAAATATAAAATCTGAAACTATAAATTATGCAACTAATACACCACTTTTAAGAATCATGAACTCTGTAAATAATTATAATATTGATCCGTTTTCCTCTATTTCTTTCTACTCTTATAAAAATCACGTTCCCCCTATCCAAGCATTACATATATCTTGATACGTCTATTTAACAAAAATCAGCAAAGACAGTAGTAATATGAAAATGACAATCGTAAGCACCCTGTTCATACTAAATGACTGGACACGTCTGAAATCGGTGTTAATACAGAGCCCTTTTATATGTTGGAGGATGGCCTGTGATGTGTCATGTCCATGCATCCGTCGTTCGATTGTTTGATTGTTTTAACGTGTAATATACTTATACATACTCATTTACATGTACACATATATATATACATACATTAGTTTATATTAATTAATATAAATCATTAACTGCTAACATAATTGCGTATAAATGAAACAATAACTATGGTTTTCTGCGAATTTATATTAATCTTTTAATTATATAAAGCGCCACAAATTTAAACTAATTAATACGAATTTACACTAATCTTTTAATTAAGTGAAAGCTACAAATGCGTCTTCCCATGTACATTATTATTTCGTATCTGGCATATTACATATCGTTTGATTTCTATGCATTACATTTTATTTTTTTAATTGGTAATATGTGGCATATTACAGTTGTATTTAAATTTAAATTTATTTCTGTTATTATTTAATAATATTTTCGAATGCTATTTAAATTTAATTTATGTAATTGGATCCTAACCCGTATAATATTTAAATAAAGAAAATAAATAAATTAGTAGTTTTATAAAAGTTAAATAATGTATACAACGTAATTCGTGAAGTTAAATAGATCACAATTTTGTTTGAATTTTTTTTTCAATTAAAAAATCTGTTAAAATATTTTCATAATAAGTACAAGAGATCATTTTTTATAATTAGTTAATACAACAAATTGATAAATAAATAAGATATTTAATTATTTCTGTTTCACTTTAAAGCTACAGGCATATGAGAAGGAGCCATCCACGAAAAACTTTATGACGTAAAATAATGGAAATTAATCAGCTAATAGGTCAAGTTATGGTATTCGTTTTATACGCTTTCTAGGAGTTACAAGGGATAGCAAAAACAGATAATTTGGATATCTGACATATTAATTCATTGATAATTTAAAAATACTTTATAAATAATCAAAAATAATTGGCTAACAAACTAAATGTTTATTTTTTTAATATTACATTATTGATTAATAATTAAATAACTAAATTTTAGATTAAACATTTTTTTTTTAATAATAGGTTAGACCAATATTGTATGTATTTTTTATATTGTAACTTATAGGCTATGGTTGTTTTTTATTCTTAATCTCACCAAGAGTGAACATTTTAAGTGGTAGACAATAATTTGTTAACAATAGTTGTTATTCAATAGTTTCTTAGATGATGTTAAAACTGATAAATATACTGATTTTTATGAATAATCATTATTTCTTATTTCCTTAAAAATATATATTTACTAAAAAATCTCAATTATAAATTAAAAATCTATATTCTGCAGAAGTTCAAAATGAGATGCTTTTTAATTGCATTAACATATTACATTTGTCTTTTAATTTTTCGTTAAACATATGTAAAACCGTATAAAACCTTAATAATGTAAAATAAAACCATAAAAATGTACAATTTTATGTTGTTTTTAAAAACAATGTAATTATATTTAGACTACATTAAATTATCACCAACATATTTGTCAATAAATAAACCATAGATAAGATTTAATTTATCATTATATAGTACATAATATAATATACAAGTATATTATACATTGGAAGCCCGATACGACTTTTCAAAAAATCAACGAAAGTTAATTTTCTAGTAACTTTGTTTAACAAAATCATTATTAGCATGAAAAAACACCAATTATATTTAATATTTTGAACATATACATTAAAATAACAGTTTAGTTAAATATCAATCGTTTTCAAATGCCTTTTAGTATTATCAACAAGTGACATTATGTTATTTAATTAACTGTATTCAAATTTAAATGCAAAAATTCAATTTCTATTATTTATACAATGCTACTGACTACTACTACTACTGTTTGACTTCTGTCAAACACTTAATTCATTCAAGAAGATTTTCAACTCAATCACTTATGCATGATTAATATTTTTATTATTATTATTATTATTGTTCATTGTATTTATTTATTTATTATATTTGATTAATTAAAAAAAAAAATAAATAAATAAATACTTTAGTTGAATCGATAATATAATAGTAATATTATAGTGAGTGTATTTCTAATTAAAACTTTTTCTATTATGCTATTAAAAGTGTCGTGCAGTCCTATTAGTTGTTAAAAAATATGTAGTTTATTTTGTGCAAGGGTTTTTTACAAACTTAGGGCAAAAAAATCTGTAACATTAATTCTATTAATTTAATATATAAATATTAAAAAAAAATAGATGTTTTTAGAAATAGCGAAGACTTGAAAACAAGAGTTTAATCTATATATATATATATATATATATGTTAACGGATCATTTACACTAAATGACTGTAGAGGGAATCGTGTTGTCAGTCACATCATTATATCATCATTCTTACACTAGTATGGAATGTTTACCGGTATCGACGTGTTCAGTCCTATATATCAGTTGCTCCTATATATCAGGCGCGAAATGGTTTACTGATCATTACAGTTTTAATATACCGTGTCGTTTAAAGTGTTTCCCCGGAACACATCGCACGCGTTCAAATTTACTACACTTTTTGAGATGAAAAAGTATTATGCGAAAAGTACAAAATATTTAATGCAAAGGTGAATTATAGTCGTTCAACGAGTATTTTTGACAAGTAATAAACTGGATTTTGGTTAGTTGTTATTATTATTAATATTTGTTTTTAATGTTGTTAAATAAATGTATTTTTCTTTTGGTCTAAAACCTTCGTTAAATATTATTCGTTAAATTCATATGACAATACGAGTTATTGATTTTACACGAAAATTTTTCGAAGTCATAATTTATAACAGTGTATTTAACATTTGTATTGCTATAATTGTTTAAACTGCCATGAATAATGAAGTTCATTTAAATGTTATAATGAAAATCAAATATATTAAAACAATTTTAATTTTGATAAATACAAACCTATTGTACAATTTATACTTTTTTAATCTCAAATTTCATTATATATATATATATCAATCAATAGATTTATAATAATTTTTAAACAACAAATTAAATGATTCAAGTACAATGATTTTTTGAATTCAAAATTATAATTTTAGATCTTAAATAAAAAATAATATAAACTAATTAGATTTCTAATTATTAATTTAGCTAAATAGTTGATAAAACATTATATTATTGGTTTATATTTATTAATATGATTATTTTTTACTTTAGTACAGCATTATAAACAACTGCAGTCTACATTGTTTTTGTGCATCCACCGTACAAACTATGAACGAAGCTTATTCATATACATATATTCTTATTATATTATGATAAAAGAATATTTATGTACATATGAACTATGGGCTTAATGATAATAAAATCAATAATCAAATTTAAGAAACTCTAAAATAATACTAATTGTATAACTGTAGTGACATGTAGATGTGATGAAACTCGTATTATCTATAATTTAAATTTAATTTTATATACATTTAGTGGAATATGATTTTTAAATATAATCGACAAAATATAAGATAAGTTAGTAAAATAAAATAAACTTGACTTATCATATGTACTGTCCCATTTATGTATAATTCACTTTTAAACGAACTATTAGTTAATGATAAATATTATTATTTATTTTTAAAATAATGTAACAATCTATATAATTATTATACATTTACAATAAGCAATCAATTTTATTTATAGCTAGTCTACCGTATCATTTAACTTTATGCATGTTAGATAATTACATTTGTCTCAAGTATATTGTGTCTTATACGTGTACTCTATAAAAGAAAAAATGCACACCTGGGTAACTTTTTTATTCTTTGATCATAATATATAGCTATTACTCACGTTTTGATTATTTTTCTATTAAACACGTTTTAAGGTTCATAATCAACATATTGTAATTATTGTACTTGTCTGATGAGTAGATCCAATTACGGAGTAAAGTTTTTTCGGGTGGTGGGTGGTGCATAATTTTACTTTACCTAGTCTACTGAGAATTATTGAAATACTTCGTCGTCACAACTATCGTCAAATAGTTTTGGAATTTGTCCGGTAGTAACATAACCTAAGTTATAATTCTTAGTAACTTTGGTTCTTTAAATAACTATTTTTTTAACAAAAATCTGATAAAATGATTAATACTGTCCAATAATACAATCGTATAGATACATTGAAATAATATTTTATGTAACGGTCAAAGTGTATTATTTGGGTATTACCGTGTAATGCATAATGCCAATTATGCGCATTACATAACGCTAATTAAACTCAGGCAAAGCTGAATCAATTTTATAAATTTGTTAAATTCAATCTAATAGATAACCTAACTCGGTGGTCGTAAAGCAATAAGTCTCGGTATAATGTACAGTGCCCAATTGTGTGTGGGCAATATAGATTGTTCGTTTTTTTTAATGGATCTCATCAACAATTATATAAGCAATAGCGTAAATTTAACAAGAAAAATCATTTACATAAAACAGTCTGTTACAAAACATTCTACATGTTCACGGAATAAAAATGTGTTCTTCTCATTGAGCCGTATTTGGCACGTGATTAAAATGTAGATTTAAATTTACTTCTGTACCAGAAAGTACATAAATAAATTACATAGTAGAATAAATAAGTACACCCAAATATTTTGAAGATATCGAAATTCTCCCAAACTCTGAACATACTAATGTTAAACCACATTTTAAAGATGGGAATAAAAAATATTTATTTAAAATGTCGATACTAATCAAAAACCTGTTGATGAAGAAAACAAAATATATTTCTTTTAGTAAAAAACAATTCTTATGAACTTGATATCTACCACTGAAAGTTTACTCGAGAAATTAATTTGAAATATGCAGAATCGCTTTTTTTCAGATTTGAATGATGCCAAAAACATTTCCAATATCATTGAAAGAAATGGCTGAAACATTTTCAAATCTTAATAGAGAAGGGTATGTTGGGTGCAATTATAGCAAACAACAATTTAAATAAAATAAATGTGGAATTGTGGCTGCAGAAAAAATATATGAATCCTAATGCCACGATAGTTTAGGCTGTAAATATAAATACAAAGTTTGTATACGAATAGTAAAGTAAACAAAAATGATATTATTTCTCTTTATTGCAATTGCCCTAGTTATTTGGTATCCGTGTATTACTCGGACAATTTACTATAATGCCCATTCAACACTTTGACCATAACATATATTATTTTTGTATAATTCTATTCATTCGATTACCAACAAATCTATCAGGCGACAAAATTATTAGAATAAATAATGATTCGTAACACTGCAGGATCAGTAAAAATAATTGCAGCCCCCATAATAAACTTAGCCCCCTCCCTAGTGTGCGGCCCAGCAAAACTGTTCGTAATAAATCGAACGAATAAATATCAAACGTATTTCAGACGGGTGTCGTAGACGGGAGATGAGCGTGTAAGGTCGTATTTAACATAAGCTTTTCATCGTTTCCGTCGTCGACCGGACGCGCTTCCGCGGAGGGACCAAGTCGACCAGAGACAGCGGCCACGGCGTTTCGCAAATACCGTTTCAGGGAGGCGAGCGCGCGGAAAACCACTGCGCGATCGGTGTCTAGGAACACCGACAGATGGCTACGGACACCGATGGTGGCGGCCCGTGGTCGTGGACAAAACGCGTGGTGGCCGGCGTGCACGTGGAACCGTTTGTGTGCTTTTACATCATGTCACGCACACTGATGCTGTTGCCCACGCAAAACCTGAGCCTACGGAAGGCATGCCGCGTGAACCTGCGCCTGGATAACGCCACATGCACCGTGCTGGAGGACGACCCATCCAGCGCATCCGCAGCTCAGCACGACGGTGAGGTGGCCACGCAACAGCTGGTCACCCAGATGTTCATATGGCAGATGATCATCCAGAGCAGCGTGCCGTGCGTGCTGGCCATACTGATGGGCTCGTGGAGCGACCGGAACCGGAGGCGCGTGCCGTGCATGCTGATGCCCGTGGCCAGCGAACTGGTCCACGTGGCCGGCCTGCTGGTGTGCGTCTATTACTTTTACGAGCTGCCCATGGAGATGGTAGGCATCGCGGATGCGGTGCCCACGGCCCTGGCTGGCGGCAGGATGGTGCTGTTCAATGCCATGTTCAGCTACATCTCGGACGTATCTAAGGTAAGTCTTGGCTGCGATTACGGGGAGGGGGGGGCGTTGACCGACCTGAAGTTAAGCACAGTGCGTGGTGAAAACTTACGATAAACGTCGGTCGGTTGGACACTGCGGGTCGGATCCCCCGTTCCGTCGCATTGAAGTTTTTAATGCTATCTTTTATGAGGCTATCGTAGCAATACCTTTACAAGTTCGATATTGAAAAATTATTAGGATTCTTACAAGAGTTACAACAAACGTTATTGCATGGTTTTCTTAAGTCATTGCTTACATAACATATAATGCCAACTTGTGCTACACCGTTGAAGTCATTTAATGTTTAACGCATTGATCATACGTCATTTTATACCTCGATATCCCGAACGTCCGGAGTTGAAGAGTGAAACAAAAAGGAAAAACTTGTAAAATTGCGATTTAAAAAAAGAACTTTGTGTTCGCACTGGCTTACGAAGAACTTTTTGGCAAATATTGGAAAGCATTAAAATTGATTAAAAAAAAACTATAAAATGTCTACCGTAATGATTTCGATTTGCTTTTTCTTCAAACGTTCATGGTTTTCATAATACGCATTATACGTATCTCGATCAATTAGTAAATTTGAAAAAAAATTGTTACAAGTACTAATGTGATGAAATAATAAAAACTCTTTTATCCTAGTCGTATGCATATTAAAGCCTGTTAAATACCGCGGTACATAAGCATGCATATGATAACAGTAGTAACCAATATGTACTTTATGTATGTGTTTAATAATAAAATAATTTTTAAAATTTAAATGTATGATATATTTTTAGGAGGAAATGAAAACCCTACGGATCGGTATAGTCAACTTGCTGTCCACCGTAGGTATGGCGATTGGTACAGCGTTATCCGGCATCACATTTCGGGAAATAGGTTTCTACGGTGTGTACACCACGTCAGCGGCACTTTATGCGCTCGGTCTACTGTACGGTCTGATATTCATCAAAGAAGTGCCACCGAACCAATTTGGTAATGCAGCACCGGTGAAGAGCGACGGCATATTTAATGGTTTTTTCAATGCAAAACATATTAAAGATGCTTTTAAAGTCACGTTCAAAGACGGTCCACACAACCGGAAACTCAAAATCATCATGTTGATGTGGATCGCATTTTTAATCATAGGACCGGTGAATGGTATGAGCACAAAACGTTATTAAGTGTTTAAACTGAAATTCTTCTGACACAATATTGATTATTTTGTTGTAATTAACTTGAGTCGAGAAACATTAAATCGCAACCATAAGTGATTATTACAAACGGCTGAGGTTTGTATGTGAATAGTATGCTCCCTTGAGCACAATGCGAAGGATTACAGATTGTTTAAAAAAATATGCTTAAAAGTTTTCAAGCAATTTTGATTAATTATTCATGTTTAGAATCAAATGAAAATTTAGGCTTCTGAAAATGTAATACATATTATACGTACATTTTAAAATAACTTAAATAATTTTTTTTTTTTTTTTTCAGGTGATCTAACAGTGTCGTATTTGAACACGCGACTCCGTTTCAACTGGGATGAGGTGGCTTTCAGTTTTTACTCAACGTACACTATGATCACTAGCGTGACAGGTAATTACATAGTTTTACATAGCATTAATTTTCTAATAGACAAATGGTTAAAAAAACTTAACGTTAACAATACATTTAAAAATACTCTTCATATTTGGAACCATTAAACTTAAAATTATTTCAATTTACGTTCCTAAAACTGAATCTTCCGTACAACAGTTAAACCCGTAATTAATGTAAATTAAGCCCACGTAACAATTAACACATTTTATCAAATAATCGTATAAAATACCTACTAATATTATTCCATAATAATCATAAATTTATATTAATGTTTTACAGGAACAGCAATTTGTATAGGCCTATTCAGTCACATACTCAAAATTGACGATAGCATAATTGGAGTGATGGCTTGTGTCGGAAAAATTGCTTCTGGCATTTGTTATGCTTTTGCAACGGATAAATGGATATTTTGTTTGGGTGTGTACCTATTTCGTATAAACTAAATTATAATATTGGGAAAAACTAGATAAAAAGTAAATTAAATATCATATAATTACAATAGTTTATATATTGTGTAAATACTATTATAAGTCAATTAGGAATTGGTTTATAGATATTGTAACCAGTGGTGTATACCTACATAATTTTTGTATGGGGGGGGCGGATCATTTACAAACAAATCATTATTTGTCCTCACACTAAGAACATTATTTAATAACGTTTAAAAAAGTTCTAGGGATATCTGACCCCCATGTCCCATTCTTGTATATACCATTGGATGTGACAACAGTTTAAATTAAGTATTTTTTTGAAAGAACTATTGAGAAATTTTTAAAACATATGAACACTATATTTAGTAATTTTGATTCTGCACTAAATAGTTTTCGAGATCTATGATTTTACTAAATAGTTCAAAATTAAGATGCTGTAACAGTTATACAGAATTTTTCTGAAGATCTATTTTAAATGTTTTCGACTAACAAATCATTTTTATTTCAGGACCATTAGTCGACATTATGGGAGGCACGGTTTTCATAACGGCCAGGTCAATAATGTCGAAAATAGTCGAACCTAATGAATTGGGTATGAATCACGATTATTTATTGATGTGACTTGCTCTAACTTTTATTTAATTTCAAATATTAGGACAAGTGACGGCTATTTACAGTATCGTCGAATCACTCGTTCCTATTTTCTTTGGACCACTGTACAGTGCAGTTTACAAAAATACCTTACACATACTACCCGGAGCTTACAGTTTAATCGGCTCAACTTTGGCTGTGCCGGCTACAGTGATATATTTGTAAGTAACAATATGTTCAAACAGTACACAACAATTTTAACTAAAAAGTTACCATCACTTTTTGTGTCATTTAAACATTGAAAAAAATCTTATTCGTGAAAAACTTATTGATATGTATATAATTTTATAAATTATAAATCGATAGAATTTATCGAGAATAATTATTCTAACATCCGAATCTACAAATTCACAATAAAATTTAAATCTTGAAAAATGTAATTATAGTCTTATAAACATATAGTAGTATAACTTAGGAAAAAGACACAATAATTATACAATAAAAATAAACGTTGTGTATTTTGGTTTCATTGTAAAATATCTTAAATCATTTACGTTTATGCAACGTACATAATATATATATTATCGTGAATTTTTTTATTTGAAAAATAGATGGCTGTACAAAGAAAGTAAAAAATCACAAAAACACAACTACAAAGCTGTTCAACTTGATGATAACAATAAAGGCGAGGAAATGAAAGGTGCTTAATTGGAATTATTAATTTTACGTCACCCATAATATAAAACAAGGTTATTCTTATAACTTATTACTCATATTTTCAATCAATTTTTGCGTGTTCTTTTGTTTAAGAACATATCTATGGTAATTTTAAAAAAAATATCTTCTACTTTTCATATTGGACGTTTATTCATTTTTTTATTTTAATATTAACTAGAACGATTGTAATATATTATTGTGAATACTAAAAAGAGGTTTTGTTTAAATTGTATATTTTTATTTTTTTATATAAAAACCAATGTTATTACTTTTATATTCTGAATAAAATCGTGAATATATATATATTATATATTATTAAAATTAATATTTATCAATTGATTATATATTTTTTTTAGATTTATAAGAACTTACATACAAGAACATTTCGAACCTAAGACATTTTCAGAAAAATAAAATTGAACTTGGTTTGTATGATTATCAGACTATTTTAATATTAATATAGTATTATACGAGTAGTAATAATTAGTTACAAGTTTTTAATTGTAAATGTTCAAGTTTAGACTTAGTATATATGTTTAACATATATTTTAATTTATTATTAAGAAAAATTATGTTACATTATATTACTGATAAAAATTAATAATAACTTATTTGACCAAATACTATTTTGTTTTCATTTAATATTGATTTTTCAACTGATTCTTAACCTTGCCTATTATATAATACATATAAAGTAGCTTAAAACGTATGTTGATTATTTTACAAGTTTATTTTTAGCGTAATTACTCTTGTAGATATGTATTTACTCTTTTACTTGATTACTATTTATTTTCACAATTAATATTTTTTAAACTAAAATATTTTTGAAGCCTAATCTATTACTAATTGATACTATATGTAGTATGTAATATAAACAAGATGTTGTATAGCAATAATTTGAATTATTTATCATATAAATGAATGTATATTATGGGTATTATATTTTTATGTACAAATTCATTACACATTTTTTTAATTGCCGTAGATCATATGAAACATGACTTTTAAGTTTATATGTAGGTAAATCATTGCTCATTCGAATAAATTATGATAAAAAAGTTGATTTTGCATTTAATAAAAATTATTAACATTATTACGAGTTTTTTCCTTTGTAACAAAAAATATTCATTCACAATATACACTCGGCCCACAATTTTTAAAAAAGATTCTTTTGATTACGCAAATGTATGAAAAAATATTAAAGTATTTGTCTGGTTTTATAACTCAAAAAAACTGTTATTATGATTTCACAATTTAATTCATGTTTAATTAATTTAATTTGATTGTTATTTTATTTGTTGATAACATACTCATAAATCCATGTTATTAAAATTGAATACTCATTGATGTATGGATGTATGGATGGGGCATATCAATGACGACAACGTACGGGGTCACGGTATTTTTTGTCAGAGAGAGAAATCATTAAGTATTGTGGTTCTCACTCTAGACTGGGGTACTTGTTAAGGTTATGTTAGAATCTCAGAAAATAATATTATCAGATTGTAACATCTGTGGACCCCATATAACCTTAAAATAAATAGAAATAAAAGACCGAATGATAAGGCAAAATGTCCTATCCACATTTATTATCAATGGTAATATTGCTATATTGATATATGGTCTATATATCATTATATACGATACATCATTATATCAATTATTATCAATTAAGACTGCAGATATAGTTTGGCATAATTAATTATTACTAACACTTTATTATTTTATGGTTCATAACATTGTATTCATCGTTTTGCAGAAACACTTCATTATCCATCATTATTAGCCAATAAAAAATTAATCATTTCTTGTTATTGAATTTATATTTATATTATATTATATTCATTTATATATTTATATATATTTATTTATTATTTTATAATTATATTATGAATTGCACACCATACAATAGTATGGTGTGCAATTCATAATGTTTAAAAAAAAAAAAAAAACCGGAAAATTGACTGTGAGTATCGTGTTTTTCGAAATCAATAAAAAAATAATTACATTTTTATAGAATAGCTAAATAAAGATAAGTGATTTTTTTTATGGTTCTTCTTAAAAAAAATTGTTCACCACTGATATAAATTAAAGTGACAATCGTTTAATTTTATACTGTTAAATGGAATAATCCTTATCCCTATAATTTATTAATCACATAACTACTAAGACGTCAAATTATATTTGATCAAAGATTCCAAGATATCATTGATTAATTTCATCATCTTTAAAATAAAAGAATAATTAAAAAAAGATTGAACATTATTTTGCTTGAAAATCAAAAAATAAACCACTTTCTTTTTGTCCACAGCCTGTTTGGTATCAACTGTCCACTCCTTACGCTTCACCTTTTACCTTTTTAATTTGTAATAAGATCTACAATTGGAAAATATTAATTTAAGGTTAAAAAATATTTATAATTAAAAACTACATTATTCATTTTGTAAACGGTAGTAATTATTTTACCTTGAGGAATTTCATCGGTCATTTATAGTTTCGAAAAATTTAAAATTTAAAATAATAAAAATCAAAAATAAATGAAAACTGCAAATACTAATTTTTAGATATTTTTGTAGTCCATATAAATAATATACACTTTAGATATGTATTTTGATAGTGATATAGATTTATGACTACAATTATAGTGTAAATTTAAATATATACTTTTAATTAGACACAAAGTCTGAATGTCCGATTCTTGCTAAAATTACTAATATAAGTAAGTGTGAATCAACAATGCTATTTTATTTTATTTTTTTAAATTCATCAGTATCTAGTATTTTATTACGAATTCCTTTCGACTTCTCAAAAGTACGAATAGAAATAAGTAATTTTTTAAGATATCCTTGTACCAGGGGCGTATTTTAGGGGGTGAAGGGGCGATCTTCCCCCCCCTGAATCCCTATTTAAGGAATGGATTATATGTCAGATATACATTTCCAATTTTTTTAAAGTGAATCATTTTATAACGAAATCAAATTACGCGTGGCTGCGATTACTAAATTGGGCTTTTTATCTGGTCCATATTTAGTGAAAAATCAAATAAAACACAAGCCTAACTTTCAAAACACAGACAGTTGTTAAAAAAGAACTACACAAAATTTGATTCTAAATGGATCCGGCATTAGATTAAAGAAAAAAAAACCACAAATATTAAAGACTCGCTAGATTTAAATATTACCAACAATTTTACTTGTAAATTTTAAGCCTAAATTAAAGAAAAAATGTGAGTCCCCCCCCCCCTAGAAGTAAGTCTAAATACGCCTCTGTCTTGTACAGTTATATTAGGTTACCAATTGAGATGAGATTATAATTTGATGACACGGGGTGCATAATTTTATTTTATTGATATTTACTTACTTATCTATAGAGGCTTTTTTCTTTTTTTTTTAAAAAGTAAGAACATTAGAAGTTCAACATATGTTATTGAGAAAACTGGTTCCACTACTATATCAACTGTTGTATATAATTACATTTTTACTTTTTATTTTGCAATCAAATTTATAGTAATAAATAAAAAATTAAATGGGTTAACAAACGATTCATGAAAATCACAATCGTGTTCTATGGCTAGTTAGAATTACTGCTAAAGTGCATATGTTTATATTCTATACCAGTGGTCGACAACCTTTATGGACTCTTGGGACATTCAAAAATTAAAAATGGTTTACGGGCCCAGTCAATACAAGAAATTTATTTGATATTTAATAACATTTGTTAGTTTTGGAATTTAATGCGGACTGTATAAAAGAGACGTGTGTACCGGTTAGTATATACGTATGCATATTTTGCATTAATTTGATACAATATAAGTAAAATTAGGTGGGGAATGTCTAAGTTCACTGATTATATGCTGTGCTTATCTACTACATAATATACTCCATAAACATTTTTTTATTTAACTTGATTCGTGAGATCATCGTGTGTGTAACTATCCGACCATTTTTACAATCACATCCATCGATTATTATAAAATTTCAACAGTTTTTCTCAGATTTTAACAGAACATTAGAGCTGCTAACTACATGTTTGTCACACATCACTGTCATTAAATAATCATCGCATTATTATGACATGTGAACCAAATAATAGTCGATCGAATCCGGGAAATACATATATCAAATACTAATCGCCCGAGGTAAATAGTATTATTTATATTATATAATATAATAAGTAGCGACAAAATATTGTAGAGATGTACTGAAAATATAAATGAAAGAAGATTGCATATTATTTCAAGGGCTTCTTATTTCTGTTTTTTCATTTTTTGTCTAGACTAATGAAAATCAATGCTGAATAATTAATTAAAAATAGTATAATTGGACTAAGTTTCGGTATATTTTTTGAATAAACATTAATTTATAATATCATATTAAACGAATATGTCTTTTTCCCATTTTGAAATCTTAAACACATCCTGCATTGAACGGTAGACACAATCGCATAGTATTAACGTTTACCATATTCTGAAATCATCATTATTCACATATTAATCAAATAAAATAATAAAAACAGTCGGATAAACTGTTTTGATCAATATATTTTTATGAACTTGAAAATTTTATCCATTGATTACATCTAATAATGATACTATATTTTAAATTAATACAGATATATACTTTTTCTAACTTTGTTTGATACGAAAATTCCAAGGTTAGGTGAGTTTATCACAAGTTGGTGGTAAAAAGAATCTAATTATAAAATATACATTATATATATATATTTATCATATGACTGCCAATAAAGCTAGTGATATACAACTACACAGCATTTTGCACTGCGCTGTAAATCGGACCGATTATGCATTTTAAAGCGAAGTTATTTATGTAACCATTACGCCACTCCGGTCCCAATACTATACGTCGATAATTTACATACGTGTTTTTCCGCTCCATTAAAATATTAAAATACTTTTAACACCTACACAAAAAAAAAAATCAAACCGTAAAAATCGCAAAACTGGTTATGGAGTAATATGTATCAATCTCGTGCTAAATTTTGGAAAAAATAAATAAACTCTTAGATTTAAACATGTCACGTACGTGATAAGCCGTCGGTTTTTTTCCATTCCAAATGCGAACTAAACACACTCTATATAAAAATTAATTCCGTCACAACAAATAAGTATTATATGATAAAAATAACCGATTTTTAGTAAATAGTAAAAAATGCATAAATTAAGCACGTAAGAAAACTTTTGAAGAAATAATTTTCTTTTTAATGGTAAACTCCGAGAGTGTTCAGGCGGAACTGTATAATGAAAGTAAAATAGAAAATACGAAATATAATGAAAAGAAGTGAATATGCGAAAATATATTTCAGATCACGTATTTATACATTGAAGGATTAGATTTTCTCTTCTGTCTCATTATTACCTTACCTAAAAAATTTTGGTGGAACATTACCAATTTTTTTCACTTTTTTTTTCACACTATATTACTCGTAGATAAACGATTTTATTCTTAATTATTTAATTAGAATAATTGCTGAATGGGCGTTACAATTTTTTATTAATTATATTTACTATTATTACTTGATAAATTTATTTAGAAAAAAGTAATGTAGTTGATACATACATTAAATTAGAAATATAGTATACTTTTACAATAGGTGTTACAAATATATTTTATTCTTGGACGAATAATTTACAGATATACACTCATTTCGCCCTCCACTGAACTTAGGTTTTCTCGTTTCTTATTTTTTATATTCGTAAATGCTAAAAACCCCTGTTCGCAAAGATATAAAATTGAGAACGGTAAAAAAATAATTAATACAAATTTTCAAAAGACCTCGGCACACCTAGTGAATACTTACAGTACACCAATGTGCCGCGGCACTCAATTTGAAAACTGATGTATTAGACAATAGCTTGCAACAAACTTTATTACTTCAAAATCGGGAAAATAATATTTACAAACGGTACCCGCAGTAATACTCACTTGTATCCATAAATATAAATAAAGTTATAATGTCGAACATGTATAACGCGAATGGCTTACGACTCACGTTTGTGAGATCAACTGCTGTTATTTAAGTCCGGCTATGATGTGCAGACGCTTGCGAAAAGTCAACATGATTAGTTATCAGGACGAATTTGGCCAAATCAATATAAGCCCTCATTAGTCCTACCAAAACTGTCCTTTTTCGAATCTATTAAATCTTACTATAAGATTTATAACGTGGGTATTAATACTTTTTATAATTTTAAAATATTATTAGTTGAATATTTTTTATGATGAAGTGTTTTTCATATATACGATGCTTTATTGAGTGCAGATTTTACTGTTATTTTTGTCTCATTCTGTATCAGTATTTATAAGATTAGAAAAACGTACTACATTTTAACGCTAGATGAAATTATTTTAAAATAAATAATATTGTCGGTATTTTATAAATACGATTATTTATGATAACATTTGATTCCGTGGAAATATTCAAAGGAGCGCAAATTATTGAACATAACTACATTGAAAACAATTTGGTAATGAGTTATTTTAAAAATGATATAAATAATTAAAACTCTAATCGTCTTCATTAGAAGACTTCTTAAGTGCGCTAATAATGCCGCATGCATAATTATATACGTATATTATACTAATTACTTCTGTTTGCAATAAATTAATTATAATTATCGCAATTACAATAAAAAATATTATAATAATCAAAGCATTGTTAGTAAATAAACATATAATTACTAAAGTTGAACTAAAACTAAACGTAGTTAAAATTCCATCCATTTACTGTATTTTTAAACGTATTAATTCAGTTTAACTATTACACTTAATACTATATATTTTATAACTAAACAATTTTTTGAAAGAAAAACGTTGATAAATCATTATTTATATCAAAAACTATTTATATTATTAAATGTTATCATAATTTATACATTAATACATAGTTAATATCCAATGAAATTACAGACAGTAGTGTCTATTTTTTTTTTTTTTTTTAGATAGTAGTTTCTATAAAAAAAAGACAAAACTTCTGGATAGGGTTAAATACAGAAATAGGTAAATTATTTTGGTTATAGTCTTTTAAGCTTAAAATCAATGGTATATTGTTCTCGAAATAACGATTCTGAATGTAAGAGGTTGGTCGGTACATGTTTCTTATGATGGTTGGTAAACTAGAAAAACCAAATTTTGTAACAAGGTAAATTTGTTTAAATGTTCTAATATCAAAAAATAAAAGACATCTTAAGTTTAAGAAAATCGAAAATTATAAGTATCTATAAACAGTAAAAATGTCATTAAAATATTTCGAAGCTATAAAATTTCCTTTGACTAAATAACTAATACTATTTAATGAATTCGTTGAATTATCCAATTTCATAAAACATTTAATTTTGTAATGTTTATAAAACATTTTTTTGCAATTTTCCGATAGATTTTTTTTTTTTAGCTTCAAAAAAAATCTTATGAAAAATCTTAAACATAATTTTTAAGCTTTAAATATAAAAATTAAAATGCTATGAATTTTTATTACGAAAATGTAACGGATTTTCATCTTTTTGTCATTTTATTATTTAGCGTTTAAATGCGTTCTTTTAATTGTTTTGTTGAAATTAAGCACAATCAATTTTTGTTCATCATTAAATTACATTTTAAATCATATCAAAATGATTTTATCAACATTTTCAAAAAAGAGCTAAGGAACATGAAAATTTTGATTTTTTTATAAATAGCCCAAACATTTTTTTTGCAAATTATATCATCTATAGCAATCGGTAATATAAGAACTCCTTCTGGATGAAATCATTTACGCAGACATTAAAAAAAGAAAATATATCCTGAACATAATCATTAACCTGGTTAAACTAACTCATTTCACTCAAAATCAAAAATAATATTTACATTTTTAATTCATATATTCGCAATTAGTGCAGTGCCATATCGTGGCAACAATAATCGTATGTATTGTACATCTGCGCATAATATTAATAAAAATTTTCAATAAAAAAATATTTGTTTGGTACAATGATTTTGCCACTTTAAAAATATTGCCACCCTAGACCCTAGTTTCACAGGTCTAGGTCAAAATCCAGCCCTATAAGTAGTAAAATCGCCAAATGATTTTACTTGTCAAATATAATATTCTAAAAGAAGACTATCATAATAATTAATAGCAATCATCCAATCTAGCAACTATTGGTGTAATATATAATTTGTAAGTATTTGATAAATATGTGTATATTAAATATGACGTAGAACAAAATGTTAGCAAAAATTGTTACGATAAATGGACAGACCTAATGAGAAAAAGGAATTTGTATAAAATAAAAATCTAAAACAATGGAATTATTTGATCTATTACGTATTATTTATAGTGTCTATACTACAAATAAAAAAGACAAATGAATTTTTTCTTGATATTACAAAATTATTTACATTTAGCAATGATAAATAACAATTAATAATCGAGCTGTGCATCATGTTTTATGTATTTTAATCATCAGCGTGTGTCGTTGAACCATACACGAAACTTAAATATTCTTTGTACTACAATCCGTGGCATTATAATATAATGTCAATATTATATCACCACGATAATAATCATTAAATCTGTTTAGGTTTTAATAACGTTGTAAAATAAAATAATGTTCAACACAAAGACACTTGATAATTATACAAATTTAAAAATATAAATAAAATAGTCATACATATACCATATAAATTAATTAATGAATAAATGCTTAGGTGAAGTATTTTTTTTAAATTACTATAGGTTTCGAATTCAAAATTCATCACCATGTACATACAAATTCGGTAAAATCGCGACTCTAATAATAATTAATAATTGACAAAATTGCGATTTTACTGACTTTGTACTCGTATATACCTGATGATAAACTTTTAATCTCAAACCTGTCGTAGTTTACAAATATAATACTCCAAAATAAACATTTATTTATTTCTATATTAATTAACGAGTATTGAATAATCAATTACTGATTTTTAATTTTTATTTTATTTTTAATTATTTTTATTAATTGTATAAAATAAAGTCGCGTTTTGTCGTTGCTAATTTTTTATTTTATTCCAAAAGTTATATTATATAAGACCATACATAAATCGTATGAATAGATCCTTATATATGCGACTTTAAATATAAATTATATGTATTTTAAATTTTTTATGAATATGTTAAAAATAATTTTTATTTATTTATTTATATTTTATTTATGTTAAAAATAATTTGAGCTCAATTGGGTGAACAGTAAAAACCTATTTGTTTCAACATAGAAAACCTTGATTCGCCTTATGCATTATTTTTATTTTTAGCTTCTTTCAGATTTCTGTACCAACAGTGAAAAAATACGTTCCCGACTTTTTTCCCGAAAGTCCATATGCCCGAAACCTTTTTTCCCGATGGTTATTATTAAAAATAAAATACTTATATTATTATAAGGTAATAAAAATATATTTTATTATTTTACTAAAATATTATTTTATTTATACAATATTTTAAGCTTATAGAAAATAAATTATACCTAAATTATGTACGTATGAATTTGAATAATATAAATCAAAAAATACATAGGTACATCGACTTTATGGTTAAAATTATACTATTAAAAATCTACAATTTTGCTCACTAAACAAAATGCACGCAACACCATTATTATTTGCAACGCAATTATTATTTGTAATAGTTTTTGTAAAACTCATTTTACACAAATCTGTTCACATGCTATCTCCGATATCGTAATCAGATAGTAAATACTTCGATTAAACTTTTTGAACATTGAGTTTTTGAACAATATATTTCTAATTAAGTGCTCCGCTAAGAATTTTGACAGGAGGGTGCATCGTGCATAGTATACGCTAATTTTTAAAAATGTTTAATTTATTTTAGTAGAAATACATAGAAATATTTTTTCAAATTATATGTTGATACAAAGTTATTTTTGTTTATTTGTCGGATACAAAGTAATAAGGAGTATTGGCAACGATTAAAAAATCCGATAATGATCGACTACTCGTAAGCTTATCGCATGTGATAAAAATGACCTATTTATAAATTGAATATACTTGTGACAACTGGCATGTCCTTTATATTGAAAAAAAACCTAAGCGTTTACAGTTATTATTTAAAAAATAAATATTATAATTTATAATATATAAACATTAATTATTATGTAAAATAAGTATTATAATTTTTAATAGATAATTATTTAAAATAAATATTATAATAGATTACGTGTGCAAGATAAAATATTTTTAATAGGTACCATTAATTTATTTTATTTTATTTTTTTTTTTTTTTTGAGAAGCCAGGGGGATGCAATTGCACCCCCTTGCACTCCCCTCGCGGTGCCCTTGGTGCTAATAATTAACAATTGCCAGTTAATTTTGTTAATATTGTGTTCTTTTGATTTTTTTTTATTTGTTTCCATTTCAGGAACAATAACAGTCGGGAAAAAAGCATTCAGGAAAAAGGCTTTCGGGCATACGGACTTTCGGAAAAAATTATACTCAGGAAAAAAGACAATCGGGAAAAATATCGTTAACCAAAAAAATATTTCATAAACCAGTAACGATTTTACTTACAATGGTGTTTCATTTTTACTTTTCTGTGAATAAATTTTCTGGTGATAGATCCACACCAAGGATAATATATAACATCTTATACCAATGGGCTAAAAAGGTTATTTCACAATATACTCGAAAATTTTCCGTATGTTAAGCAATCATTAATTGTCAAACAGAATCAACTCGGTACCTATCAAATAATAAGTACATAAGTACATAACATTTTGATGAAGTATATATTTTTGTGAACAAATCAAGTTCTTACTTTAATGTAAATCCGTTTAACCTTGTGTTTCAATCTAAGATAAAAATCAATTTTAAATGTAGTATATTGTAGTACCTACACTGAAAAGCCTACACACTATCTAATCTAATAATATTATTTTTATTATTAATTATATTTATCTATATAATTTCATGAATGTTAAATTAATTAATGTTCTATATTGCAACAAATTTAATAACAAAAAAGCTTTTAAAAGCAGAGAAAAAAAATATATTGCATGATTGATAATTTATTTGTTCTCGTAGCCAATAATTTTATTTTTTACATTTATACTTACATTAAAATATTTTTTAATAAGATACAATTGTCATTCAAATTATGTACAGTTATTTTATCTCAATTTAATTATAGTTGCTATGATCCTTGAACGATCATCACATTCGATTTTTCACGAAACCCTTATTTAAATCAGTGGTTTTCAACTTAGGAGTCGTGAAAGATTATTTAAGAATCCCCAAAAATAATGAACAAATGGTGGTTATTCATATCAAAATATATTATTTTAAAAATTAATCTCATTTTTAGGAATATACAATACTACACCGAATAAAATAGCGTGTAGCGTAATCTTATCTAACGACGAATTATTAACTAAAAAACGATTGTAGTCACCAATTTTAAATGGATTGGTATTTAATATCTGATTATATTTACACTCGTAACGTATACGTGTATTTAAAAAAATTTAATCACAAATAATAGTAATCGATTTGATCAAAAAACCTGACTTAAAAGTAGCAGTTTCTAATATAAAACCCAATATGGATTCTATAATATCAAAAATTCAAGCACATTAAAACGAGAAAATTTCTAATATGCATTTTTATATTATTTGAAGGGGTCACATTAAAAATTAATAAAAATAGGGGTTCATAATTCAAAAAAGGTTAGAAAACCATTGATATAAAGAATATTTTTGGAGTAATAAATTATAAATAAAATGAATTTATAAGATAACTTGAGTCAAATCAATATGAATGTTATTGCTTACATTATAGTTTATTCATACTAATTTTAACTCTATAAAATAATTTAACGTCATTTAAATTTATATATATATATATATATATAAATAATTCAATTAATACTTACTACCGCATAATACATTATACTGGTATTTACTTATAATTATACATATATGGTAAATTTTTTTAATCAGCCCCTCCCATCAATGCATACTTGATCCATGCATTCAATTAAAATTCAATAATCATTTTCGAATAAATAAGTCGAGATATTATCCATTTATTACATATTAAAATTTTGCTATTGACTATTGCGACGTAAATCGTATCGCTTTTATATTACCAGACGCGGTAGTTTCTTGTTGGACATACATGACCATGAAAAGGCAGCGAAAGATTCAAATAATCCAATAATCCACTGTAAGTGATATAACATATTTTTTAAATTTATCTGAAACACTAACTTACTTTACTCGTTTTATATATATATTACATTCTTATCTCTTTTTTTATTTTTAAACGTGTATCATTATAATATCTATTCAAAATGTTTTGTTAATATAAAAGCTGTACACATTACTCCTTTGGGTTGTCAAAATTTTAAATAAATAAAATACATAATTTATATTCTTCTAAAAGTATTCTAATTACTTTTTAACCGTTTAGCTACATCAAGTTACATTTATCATTTGATATACCCATACATATACATAAATACATATATACATACATATTTGTGGTTTGTGTACTACACAAACCACATTACAATGTGTATTAATGTTTTAAATTATATAATAATATTTAAATTTAAGTGTTTTATTATTTTTTTGAATTTTTATATTTTAAATACTTTTAGATCAAAAAATAATACCTAATGATCATTTAATATAAGTTATGTATCCTAAAAAATTCAAAATGAATAAGTTATAAGTTTTATTTTTAATATTAAGGTATACATTATGTAAATTAATTGGAAAGTCAGTTATTATTACTCCTAATATAATGCAGATATTGAAGTTCCTTTATGATATTTAGTAAAACTTATTATATTTTTAGATAATCTAAAATATATAATCTTGAACGTATTTATTAGTTTACAATGTTTGCACATGACTGCATATCGCTTCTTTTTCTTCTTCTTCTTATTGGCTTTATAACTCTCCAAGAGTCTTCACCACCACCATCAAGGCCTTCCATCTTTCCCTATCCTGGATAACATCTTACCAATCTTCTACTTCCAATGCTTTTAGATCCTGATATACTCCATCCACCCATCGCTTTCTTGGTCTACCCCTAGGTTTTCTCTCACTTGGTTGGTACTCTATGGCTGCCCTCACAGCCTTTAATTCACCCCTTTGCATGGCGTGTCCAAACCATTACAAACGCTATGATTTTATGTAGTTGGTGATCTTCGGGCTTTGTATAATTTTCCGGATTTCGGTGTTTGCCCTTATTCGTCAGCACCCCAATTCGTCATCATAAATCGCACTGCAAATCTTCCTTAATATCTTATTCTTACTCTAATTCTTGAAGTGGGAGCTCGGGGCTACCTATCCCGAGGGTATCTACCCCTGAGGGTATTGCTTAAAATTAATTTATAGATTTAAGTATATCGCTTAAAACTATAAATTCTCCCGAGAACACAGACACAAAAGCCTAATTAATCTTATTTCTAAGTTGTTTTCAATTGTTTTTGACGATATACTTCATTCACGTCACGTGTATATAATTTTTTTTTTTTTTTTTGTTGCCTTGCCCCAGCAGACGACCGCGGACGCACATCATGACCGCGACGGTCGTGCCGGCGCGACGGCGCAGCACGTTCTGGGACGACATGACCATCGAGCCGGTGGTCGCGTGCTACATGACGGCGTTCACGCTGATCACGCTCACCGTGTCCAACCTGAACCTGCAGAAGGCGTGCAAGGTGAACCTACGGCTGGCCAGTGACACGTGCGAGGCGCTGGTGACGAAGGGCGCGGGCTCGAGCGCCGCGGACGAGGTGGCCGTGCAGCGGCTGGTGGCCGGTATGATGATGTGGCAGACGTGCGCGCAGAACGTGCTGCCGTGCCTGGTCATGCTGCTGGTGGGCTCGTGGAGCGACCGCACCCGGAAGCGCGTGCCGTGCATGCTGCTGCCGCTGTACGGCGAGCTGGTGCGCAACGCCGGCCAGCTGCTGTGCGTGTACTTTTTCGACCAGCTGCCCATGGAGGCGGCCGGCATCGCCGAGTCCATACCGCTGGCGGTTACCGGTGGCCAGACGCTGTTGACCATGACCGCGTACAGTTACATGGGCGACGCCACGTTGGTGAGTGTTGATGACCGGTGGCGGTTTTTAAGAAGCCACAAGATGAGGAGGAGGGCGAAAATATTTTACGTACACTTACAATTTGCATACGTATCCCGTTCATTTTTTCCTGTTGCTCGATACATGAGAAGTAATTTTAAGTTCTATAAATGTCATACCTATCACGGCGGCGTAACATAAAAATATAAGTATATATAAAAAAATTAAAACTAAAATTATTTTTTATTCAAACTTGATTAACGGTTGAACTTATAGGAGCAAACATTTTTGTAAACAGTAAACAGTTTTGGTATAAAATTATCGCTAAAACGATTTTTAATGAACTGTTTGCTCATTCATATTTTTAGTTTTTACACGGCTCAAGGGGTGTTCCACCTTTCTCTTCCCCCCCCCCAGCGTCTAAGTAAAGATAATACACCGAAAATTTATTTAGATAAAAATAAAAATAAGATAAACTAAAATTATCTTTATAAAAGATAAAAGAGTATCGAAGTTCATCTAGATAAGAAGCGAATACATTTAAAAAAAAAAAACAACGATTTTATATTAAATCGTTAACAAAATAAGAGATCAGACTTATCACGCATAAAAAAATTTTGCATTTGTTTGAGGCGTTTGAAATTGATATCGATTTTAATGTGTTTTTTTAATTGTTTAGGGTAAAATTGAATATTATATTTTTATTTCTGAATCTCCTTTATGCGTTAACGCTTTCCGTAGTAAGACCGATAGTGCTAGAAAATAATTAGTGAACGAATATTAGTAATAAATGTGAGGGCAATAGATGAATATGAAAGAGTGACCCCGTTCAAAAATAGTATATCCTATTTAATTTGACAGGTTCATAGTGGGAGAGCCATTTTTTAAATTATGACTGTCTATTGGCCATTTTCTTTGAAGTCTTATTGGTGGATTGTTGAGAAATAAATCGAGGATATACGGGAGATTAAAGGATTTGAATGGAGTGACATTTTTTTGTATTGTCAAGTTCCTATTTCGTCTACTGTTGGAATTTACGAGTCTCCGTGTATTGCATAATTGATCATATACAATGGTTTTTTAGTAATTTAGTTATTCAGTTATTTAATTGGAAAAATCTCTATTTTTAAATACTTTCTAAATTGTCTGATGTACATCCACAAATAAATAATTAATGTGAAGACTTTAAGAATTTGAGGAAAATATTTGGATTGTCTATGGTAATCCCAGTATCATCAGCTAATGCTGAAAGTAATTTTTCTACTATGCAGTGTATGAAAACTTACATTAGAGTTAGACATCAAAGAAAAAAAATCTAGCTTCATTATATTTAGATAAAGAGAATTCTAAAAAACTGCTTAAATATCCAATTCCAGTACTTGGAAAAATTAAAACTAGAAGATTCAATTTCAAATTTAATATTAGTCCCATTTCTTAAATATACATTTATATTTTTTTATAATAAATAATAAAAATATAGTTTATATTTACACTATATATTAAACTACGTTTTGTTTAAAAAATAAAAAAATTTATCACTACATTTTTGAGTATTCAATTTTTTTATGCTCATTTATTCAATTGAGGATTAACATTGACTTAATAGCATATTTTTAAATTTGTTCATGTCCGTTCGAAATTTAAATCCTAAAATCACCTCTGTTTCAACTCGCAACGCTCTTTCAAGTATATTGCCTTTGTAACATTTTTTTAATTAACACTCATCACTTCAAATAACAAAAACAAAATTAAAAATATTCATTATCACTCGATAAGACCTATCCACCTTATCAATAGATCTAATGCAGTATTTGATATTTTCGATAGTATTTCAATACTTATTAATTATTTAGAATATCAGTCGTTTTGGCTTCAGCCAAAAACACTTACTAGAATAATGGTCTCATAGAGGGGAGAAGGAACTATGTTGGCATTTGATTTTTGGTAATTTTAAAAGCAGTTATGCTAATTATAGTATTTGAATGGTAACAATCGGCTACCACTCATCGAACTGCTTTTAAAATTAGCAAGGGGTAAATATCCACCTTGCTTTCTCCTCAAATTACACCTTTTCAATAAATTAATGACATTTTAAAAGCAACCCGATAAACTGGTGCAGTGGTACCCGATTGTTGACCTTTTAACATTATATTTAGCATAAAAACAATTTACAAGTCTTTGGGGTGGATAGTAATATATCAGGTAAATTGATTTAGATGATACAATTGATATATTTTCAAAAATTAAAAATTTTTACTCTCGACGTCCTTTTAAAAGTGAGGTTATCTCACGGCGTCCTTAATAAAGCTGATTATTTTTTATTTTTTTTTAAGATAAAAATAAATAAAACCAGAAAAAAATGTATTCAATTGAAAAATAACGGTCGACAAGCACCTCTGTAAAAGCACCACGACTTTAAAAATTGCTAGTTTAAGTGAAAGCTTTACCATAACAAAAAAAAATATGAGTCCCTTTAAATTTAACTATTATTATATTACCACCTACACGTAAATTATTACTCGATAAAAATCTAAATTTTTCAAAGATTTAAAGGAACCTGAATATAATGCTTATACTAACCGCTGTAAATAAGAGTTTACTTTCAGGAAATTGTATTTGTATGGAAGAAAAAATAATTACTTTTTCAACCATTTACACACCAAGCAAACGTAAAATCTGTAGTAACAAAAAAAAAACTTAAATTAGTTAAAAGTAAATTAAATTATAATTGGTCTTTAATTCAATAACCATATTGTTGTAGGTAACTTAACCATATTGTCTCTTAATCCATTAATTTAATAAATCAAACACTTCTATTTCGTTATTAACTTTATACTCGTATTACGATTGTGTTCACAGAATAATACACACTTAGTCTGGCGATCACTATCGTCATTGTCCAATATCATAATCCAACGTGTTTTCCACTTAGTGGTATCTTAAAAGTTTCAAAAATGATGTTTTTTTTTTTCTAGATTAAAAATCGAACGTTTAGAATTGGAGGACTCAATGCTGTTATGGCCATATCTATGGCGCTCGGAACTTCGCTGTCTGGCATAGTATATAATCAATTAGGGTTCTATGGAGCATACGGTCTTTCGTCTGTGTTAATTATAATAGGTTTGGTGTACGGATTATTGTTCGTCGAAGAGATTGCTCCGATAACGGTAGTGAACGAAAACAAATCATTTAAGACCACCCTCACGGAGTTTTTCAACTTCAAACAAGTCACAGAGTCATTGAAAACAACTTTTAAAAAACGACCAAATACCCAACGACTAAAGATCATTGTTTTGTTAATCATACTCATGGCGAATGCTGGCACAAATAACGGTTCGTTTTGAAAATGTATATACTTTTTTTTTTTTTAATACCTACTTAATATTCAATCATCCTCTTTTGTTTATGTGTGTGTGTGTTGAATTTTTTTATTAAATTTCTTATAAACGAAAAATCAATAAGCAAATAATATAATACTGATTCTGAATATTACTAGTTAATATGATCATCATAAAAATAAACTATTATTAATATGAACAATGTAGGTTTCGTATGAAAATTAACTTAATAAATTAAATATTCTTAACACAATACCTAAAATGCCTTGGAAATGTTTACAAAACTATTACAAGTCCAACACTAGCACTGCCATTAAATCATTAATATAGAATGAGATTTTTTTATGAAGCAAAACTTACTGGTTTTATGCACTACAGTAGTGTTACATGCAGTGCCGGATTACCCATTAGGTGAAGTAGACACCCGCCTTAGGGCCTTACTCGTTTAAGGGGCCCTGTAAAAACGGAAAACTATAATTTTTTTTTATTTAATAATACATGTATTTTATTTACGAATTTACGGGACAAAAGTCATTATGAAGTATAATATATATATATATATTGTTTTAGGCGTTATAGGTAGTAGTAATAATAATACAATTATTTTGTAGGGCCCAACATTTTAATTGTCTAGGGACCCACAAATATTTAATCCGGCACTGGTTCCATGTAATATTTTAAATTATCACTTATTTTTTATGATTTAATTATTATTATTAATTATTAGTCATGTTAATTTATATTAAATATTATGGTGCATTGAAATTTCCTACGTTTGCTTTAATGCAACTCTAATCGAGTTCGATAAGAAAAATGTATTATTATTATTATAAACAAATATCAATCAACTGTTTGAAAAACAACATAAATTATGGTTTTTAATTATAGTCAGGATAGTATACGATTATACATTGTAATTACAACGATTACAACTTTTTAGAAAACTGACTCAACAATAAGTTTCCTATTTTAATTGCTACAACGCTACAATTTGTGACCTATGATTTTTTTTCTAGAATTAAAACCAAATATTACTTATTCTTAGCGATAAATCTAATATAAACGCAACAATTATTTCAAGGTTTTTCTAACAACTGAGTTAATTAAAAAAAGTACATATTACTTTTACGAATCTAAAATTAATTGATTTCTTCCAATTATATTTTGTATACCAAATATAGGTTACCGGACGGTATCTTATTTGTACACTCGTGTGCAATTCAACTGGACTGAAGTCAAGTACAGTATATTTTCAACGTATGAACTGACAGTAAATATAATCGGTTTGTTTTTACAATCATTGTTCATTGTCTTCGCTGTATAATTAACGAATACAATATTTTATTTTAGGTCTTTTATTTACCATATTTATTCTTAGTAAGCAACTAAAAATTTCTGATGAAATTATTGGAGTCTTATCGACCATAAGTCAAACACTTGCGTCTTTATACTACGTTTTCGCTTTCAATCAATTTCTTTTCTACCTGGGTAAGTGTGTAAAGTGTGTAAAAAAAGGAACTTGTTAGGTCATTTGTATATTCTTATTATTGATTTTCACTTATTACTTTACCATTCACAGGACCTTTATTGAACATCTTAACGGCTGCAGAAAATATATCTATAAAATCTCTAATGACAAAACTAGTACCAAATTCTGAACTCAGTGAGTAAAGCTGGATGCATTATCTTTAATTTTTTAATTCAGTCTAAAATAATTTTAAAAAAAAATTTTTTATAACATTGCTGTGTTCAAAATATAATAAAATTTAATGAGTCACATACATTTGTAAAATTTCTACATAGTACTAATATGCGATATTAGGTTCCAAAATATATTTTAGATAATATTTCTGGTTCAAGTATTCAACACATCATTTCATACAATTCGTATTTTATTTAACTAACCCTGAAATACAAAAAAAAATAAAATTTATTCTAAACGCTAAACATTTTAATAATAAAATAATTTTTGAAAACTGTATAAGCTGTATAATCATTATTGCATTTCAAATCAAATATTAATTACGATAGCGGTCTTTAGATTATTATACTAATCAGAAATAATATTATAATCATTTTTGACTGTAATTATTATTATTCAATAACACCACAGATATACACGAAGTTTTATACATAAAATAAAATACTCCTTGTGCCAAAGAGTTTGGCTTGGATTTTATAATTGATAAAACATTTATATTCAAATTTTTTACTAAAATAAATGTGTTATTATTTTACTTGATAAATTTTATTATTTTATAAAATCAATAAAAATATAAATTCAAATGAAAATTAATAATCTACGTATCGCCAAAGAGCTTCGGTTGCTAAAAGCTTGTATGAGAAAGAAAACTTATAATAACAATGATAATTTCAATTAAAAACATTTAAATATACCATTTTTAATATATATTTAATCATTCAACGAAATACGTTTTTTGACACTTATGAGCAGAAATTTTAAAATTGAAATTAAAAATATTAAAAATAATCTTTTAAGGATAAAACCATGACATTAGCTACAACCTATAACTATATTCGGATAAAATTGAATAATATTACAGTTTAAATTATAATATATTTTACATTCTAGGCCAAATAGCAGCAATATTTGGAATTTCTGAAATCGTTGTTTCCTTGTTTTCTGGACTCTTGTACAATGGCTTATATGAAATCACTCTAAATACACTACCTAGCGCTTTTTATTTCATCACGTTCATTTTCAGCATATTCTCAATTGCATTATTCCTGTAAGCATTTATATTTATATCGTTTTTTATTAATAACAAATTGGAAAAGATCAAAGTTCTGTTCATATTGTAATGGAAAAAAAATGTAGTTAATTATTATTAATTATTTAGTTATTATTATTAATTTAATGTGAACAGATCTTTAAACTGCATTACAACATAACATTGTATAATCAAAAAATGTATGTTAAAATTTTACATAGATGGATGTACGTGGTGCGAAAACACGACCGTGAATCCTCAAATGATGTAATAAAACATACAGAGAATTCACATCTGAAGTCAAAAACTATTGATCGTTCCACTTATGGCACTGTAATAAAACAGATCAAAACGTAATTACATACAGATAGTGAATATTCCTAGTATAATACATGAAATAAAGTGTAAAATAACTTAAAATATTTAAATACCTATAAGTTAAACTAATGTTATAATTTCTACAAAAGAGAATAATTATTTTAATTAATCAATTAAAATATATTAAATTAATTTTGTTTGTTGATTTTCCTACAAAAACTATTGATTGTGTATTATCTAATTAATATTTGTGTAAGAAAATAAATTAATAAAACATGCAAACGTGATTTATCATTAATTATTAATTATTAATATTATTTCTTATTAATTTATTAACATTATAATCAGTGGCGTATAAATAACTTTTATTTGAGAGGGGGATCAGTTGCAAATTATTATGGAAGGAAAATTCCTAAGTACCAGCACGTTTAAATTACAAATAATAAAAGATATATATTGTATGTGTCAAGATAATAATTTACAATAAATCCTTGCAATACTATTTTGTTTCCTTATAATTTCCTTACATTAAGAACACTATTTTATACAATTTTAAAAAGGCCTATGGAAGGATCTGACCCACATCCCCCCCTTTTATACGCCCCTGTTTATAATAATATAGTTGTGTAATTGTTGAGCGATAATCTGTAATCATTACAGTAAGAAGCTATGTGAAAAAAATACACATGTGAACTAATTTTATCGAACAAAAACGCTGTCTTATTTTTAATAGGTAGTTTATTATACTTGCAAGATTTAAAAACTAAATATTATTGAAAATATATAATAAAATTTATTTGATTTATTATTTAAACACTAAAATGGAAAATAATTTAAAAATGAATATTATATAAAGATAAAAACTGATTTAATTCATTTTAAATTTTGTTAACATTACAGAAAATGGTTATTTATTACTACCTTAAAAAATGTAATCTTTTAAATATGGAAAATCTGAAGTTAATAAAAAAAGAGAAAATTGAAATAAAACGTAAAATTATTATTCATAATTAAATATTTATTTAAACTAACTTACCCATTTGTCAGTGCATGATACTGACTAGTTGAAATCACCTACAAATCTAGATAATAAAATCACAGCTGAACAATAAATATGCAGAGATTTAGTAATGCATGTTCCAAAATACAAAATATGTGTAGACTACATTATTATTTCAAAAACGGCCAGTCAAAATGGGAAGGGAGGAAAAATTCTGTGGCGTGATTAATATTTTTCTTACAAATAAAATACATAGAACGATGATTTATCGTAATTATCAAGAACCAGAAATATCTATAATCTACCAGTATGTTAGGTATTATTTATATTAAAAATTGTTCATACACGGTACACACTTTCCAAGATCACACAACATGTGCATAAAAGCTATTGATATAGGGTGTTTCAAAAAGAACGCAGAATTGAAATCTACTATAAATTAAATTTATTTCTTTTAAAAAAACATAACAAATATATTATTTTCTTTGGGAGAAGTTATGATTTAACAGTGAAAAACAATATCAGGCATATGACCCTCCCTACTAGCCCTACAGGCGATTATTCTTGATTATTCTTATTACACTTGAAGAGTAATAAGTTGCACCGTCTTATTGTAACCATACAAGAATACCTACCGAGCTCATTAATTTTCTTTGGCCTTATTTAGACCAAATTGTCACACTTCAAGAGAAACAATCACTCTGCTGCGTGAGAAGTTCCTGGACAGAATAATCTCGTTGCGTGGCCAAAGCTACCCACTCGATCTTGCGACTTGACGCCATGTAATTTTTTCTTATGGGACTACACTTAGTCACGAGTTTACCAGAACAAAGTTCGAAATGTCTTGGAACTTAAGCAAGAAAATCATCATGAACTTGATGGACAATGTGTGATCGAGTGATGGTAAATTGTATGGAAAGAATTATTGTCTGTAGGGGTAGTAATGAGGGTTATATGCCCGTTATTTTTTTTCACTGTTAAACCTTAACTTCTCCTGAAATGAATGGTTTATATGCTATGTTTTTATAAAAGATATAAATTTCATTTATAACAGATTTAAATCCTGCGATCTTTTTGTAACACCCTATACTACCTGAATAAAAATGATGTAGCAGTAGTCGAATGCATAGATATATGTGTTACTTAAAATAGTTTACTTAAATTTGAAATGGATTCTCAGCTACAATGTTCATTAAAGATTTGTAATTTTTATCAATTTACCTTTCAATCGTATAATGTAATAACTCTTAAAACTAATCTGAATTATTCATATGAGCTTGAGATTGATCAGTCCAATATTATAAGATTTCTAATTTAAAATCTAAATAATCAACATTTAAAATTTTAAAATATTCAAATCAAATACATAAGTTGAGAAGCTAAATTGGAAAAAATGGATGGATCTCAATTAAACATAAGACCACATAAATATTAGTATATAAAACTGTTATAACATTACAAAGTTAATCAATATTATTGAAAAAATGTTGGTATATTTTATTTATAATAACTTATTACCATTTAGTTTTTTAACTGTCTAATTTTTAGTTAAAACAAATTTAAAGAAAAAAAATAGCATAACTTATAAAATTTAATTAGATTATTTTGTTATTTTTAATATATTGTAAACTAAAAATTCAAATTAAAAAAAAAATGTATGATATCTATAACTTTATCATAAGTACAGTTGCCAATAATTAAACTTTAAGAATTACCTAAGAAATTAATTTTTTTTTCTTCGATTAATCCATTACTATTATTTAATTACAGCATTTTTATCAAACCACAATAATAATATACAAATAATTAAAATGAATATAAATAATGTTTTAATTTTATATCCTTATTAATTTAAATATTGAAAAAAATAGAATATGGTAAATATAATTAAATAAGATCTAAATGAATTAAGAATGATTGATCAAAACAGTTTAAAAAAGTTTTACATATATAATATGAATAATAAAAAAAATATAGACAAAATTGGAATTTAAAAACTTTGTTTATTTTAATAACATTGAGAAAATTACATTTAACGATCATAACTTATAAAATAATTTAAAATTTAAAATTCAATTTACATGTGTATTGATGAAAAACTTTTGAAAATACACAACTAAAAATAAATTTACTTGTAAAATAAATAGTCTTTATACGTGATACCTGAAAATAAAAACAATTTTATCATTAAAAAAATTAATATAATATAATTTAGTTAAATATGTAAGGTTATAATAAAATAAAATAAATATAACACAAGTTAAGATAAATAAAAAGCTAAAATTAAAATTTAAGTGTTATTAATATGAATTCATATTACTCAGATGATAAATAGTTATAAATGCAAACATAAATAAAAAAAAAAAAACAATTTTCAAGACTTGATTTTTTTTTTAGTAGTTAAGAAGCATTTTATTTTTTAAAAAAAAAGTAGTAGCTATCTAATTCAAGCACTATAAATTATAGATATGTATATTATGATAATATGATTATATATATATATATAGGATGTGCCCCACAAATATATGATATTGCTTATATAATCTCAACTAATAATATTCAATATTATATGTTTCTTTTTTAGTTGCTTACTTAATTAAAATTCAAATTAACTAAGTATTGTGTTCAATATTTAGGTAAATTTCAAAAAAATGTAATTATATTTTCACAATAATGTATGCTTATAAATTAAGTAAAGTAAAAATCAAATCTTTATATACATATTAATATGTTCTTTTAAGTGAAAAACTCCAAAAACAATTTACAATTAAATCATTGACCCATAAAATATGTTTTATACTTAATTCCAGCCTATTCAATATAATGCCCATATCATAATATCTGAATAAACCAAATGCATTGTCGACTGAACAAACGACATTGTATTCAAATATATACATATGTATGAGTGTGTGCATTTTTCTAATTCTATATAATTCTAAAATATAATCCTTTGTGTACATCATTAAATGAAAATCCCATGTTTTCATTTCTATAGAATTTAAAGTGCAAATAAAAATATTGAATTAAATTATACATTAATTTTTAATTTTTACTAACAATTATAATTTGTGATTAAATTAGTTAGATTTCAAATATTAAAGAGCATGAAGAATATTTTGATTATTTCACAATAAACTAAGTTTATTTAGTAAGTTAATATTCAAATGCAACCAGTAGTAAATTTTATTTAGTAATGTACTATTTGAAACCCATAAATCAATTTACAGTTAAAATACATACTCCTGTTACGAAGTTTCAAAGCTACTTTTGAAATTTTCAAAATTAAACATACCAACATTACTAAAATTGTTAATGCATGCAATATTTACCAAATTAAAGCTAAATTTTAAAATAAATATAAATTATATTTAATTTAATCCTATTAAAAAAAAAGAGAAAGGAAAAGTTTTTTTTAAGCTTAGTAAGGTATTTTGGGTTTCAAAAAAAATTATTTTTTCTTATATAATAAAGACATTAAATAGAAAATTGATTACAATATCAAAAAATATTTTTAAAAATAAATGGCTAATCTTATAAACATAATACAATAACTTAACCTACTAAATCTTGAATAGAAATATTAATGGTATATATATGTTTATTCTTGATATTAATAATATATACTTTTTAAGCAAAGATTTCATCGAAATCAAAGAATAGCTAGAGTACAATCTCTGTGGACTTTAAGCAAATTTTTCCAAATCAATATTTTAACCACTACAAAGTTAGTTAATTACTCTACTTTATAATAAAAAAATAAAATAAATTGTTTTAATTTAAAAATCTAACGGCAAAGATTTTTAATATCTATAGTTATACGTACAATAGATACAATAATATTATGTCAAAATTAACAATATTACATATAATTATTAAATAAAAGGTGATATAAAAAATATAATTGTTAACACTTTAAAAACTTTTGCTATAATTAATTCACAAAATAATAAAAATTAATTTCACTTGATCAAATTTGTTACATGTAAGTTACATACAATTTATTAAAAAAATTGTTAATTATTCCAAATATTCTATCATTTTGACTGTAGTTAATACAAATAATCTTAAACTATACTTACATAGCTTTATGTATTTAGTGCAAACACATCAAACTTTTGATTGAATTGAATCAAAACTAGTATCTATTATAATACTCTGAAGAGCTCCAAATTATTAATAATTCTACATACTAATATATAGTATAATACTAAATGGTTGATTTTATTAGTATATACAAAACCATACATCAATAACTTATTTTATACTTAAAACTAAAAGCGAAATATTATTTAGTTTTAAATTTTGTATAGTGAAACTTACCCTTTTTAAATTTGAATGATGAAACATTTAAAATACTCCAACAATGCTTATTCAAGTAATTTGATTTAATTAACTTTTTCAGTAACTAGTTTTTTAAAAGCCACTTCAGTAGCTGCAACAAAATTAATTCATAATTAAAATATAAACCAGTTATAAATATATAAACAATACAGCAATATTGATATGCCAAGTAAAAATGAATATGGTAAAAAAATGAAAGCATTATAATTAATTAACATTCAATAGAAAACATAATAACTGTTGAAATAAACAATTATTATAATACTACCTATATTTATTGTATAGACATTATAGAAAAAAAAATACAGTATATGTTATATAGGCTCCTTAATCAGATTCTTTAACTTAAGAACTAGAATTTATATCTATATATAATCAAATAAATTATATATTATGGCAAATATTAAAAACTGTTATATTAAATCTGAATTAATACATAAATATTGTACACAACAGCATAAATGGATTAATTATTTTTTGATACTTAAAAATGATCTATGTCATCATTATGAACTTCAAACCATATATCACTATATTTATAAAGAAAATGTTGAAAAAATTAATATCATTATTAATGAAAATGCAAAGATGTTATTTTTGTTCTAAATATCATAAATTATTGATTAATAATTGTATATATAATTATTTTTATTATATGATTGATTTGATCTGTAAAAAATTATATTAACTATTTTAAATTACAAAATGTGTACCATCATACTTCAATAATCTTTGTGTTTATACTTTATTTATGATTTAATTTTTAACTACATATTTTGTTGTAAAAATATAATATAAGTATGTAAGTATGGTACATAACATCTGATGTAAAAGCATAAATTTAAAAACAAAACATAAATATAAAAAATTAATAAATTTATAAATAAAGATAATTACTGTAATATTAACTTAATTTTATTAATTCAAGCATAAATTAAAATTCTTTTACCTTTTTCAGAAAGGTCATTTACCGCTTGATCAATATCTCCTTGGTGTTTTAAAAAGTATGGACGTATAAATTTACTATACACAACCACAGAACCATTATTGTGAATTGGAATGAAACACCAAACAAAAAAGATTGTCTGAAAACAAAATTTTAAATTAATTAATAAATCAGTAGTATAAGCATTGAGTTAAACTATCTTGAAAATAATATTTTGGAGATACATTTTTAAATAAGTTACAGTTTTTACGTTTTTTCTTCGTTGTTATAAGTATAAAAATCAATCTTGTGATTAAGATATTTAATTCTTTTATACTGAAAAGATTATTATTTAAAGTATATCAATAAAAGAGCTCTATTAAAAGTAAAATTTTTTATTTAACTAGAAAATAATTGACAAGATTATTAAAAACAAAATTAAAAACAGAAAGTATTCAAATTATTTTGTAAATTTGAGAAACCTAAATCTTTGTAATTAATTAATATTTTCTAAAAATATATTATTAACTATAAAAAAAACTACCAAAACCCTAGAAAAAAAATTATTTCAAATGCATCAAAAATAATTTGATAAACAAAAACTTACATCTGATAAATACATAGAATTATGTTTTAATATTTTTTAAACCCACTATTTTATCAAAAACCCTTACTAAAGAAGGATCATTACAATTATTAATATAATAGTATTATCATTACAAATCACAAATGTTCTCAAACCTTGATTAACGAATAAAATGGTATCCATTGTAGAATAATTTCAGCCGGGAACTCAATTAGAGTAATGAATGAAAACACCACCCAATATGTCAACCATTTTGTATCATCATCTTTTCCACTAGATTCTACAGCTTTTATGGACGCATAGGCAGGGTATAAAAATCCAATCAAATTACTCAACAATAAAGTTCCATATCCAATTAATAAATAAAACACAATGAACACTGCAAATCCTGAAATTATAAAATAAAAATATATCCATATTACTTATGAACTAGATAAGCCACAGAAACATAAAAATAAAAAAACTAAATACATATTTATATATGTAGGTGAATTGTAATGTTACTAATAAACCAGTGCATATTTTTAGGAGTTCAAATCTTATACTCAATCCTATCATGCATGACCCCATGGATATTTTTATCTAATGTGTAGAAAACATAATAATTTTTTACTAACACCCCTAATTGTTTTTGTCATGTTTTAACAAATAATGAGGTAACCTACATGATTTTAAAAAAAATGTACACATAATATACTTAAGATGGTTTAACATTACCTTGGTAGTGTTCAGTTCTATGCATGAATATGTTTTTATTCCCTTCCTCAACCATGGTCAAATTCAAATTACATCACCAGTCGATTAACTTTAATAAGAAACCAATCACTGATACTTAAGAAATTTACAAGAATAACATATTTAATTTACTAATGATTCTGTATACAATGAAATAATAACGATAATTAATCATAGAATAAAATAGAAACTTTGCGACTCAATTTAAATAATATCATTACTAATGATTCATTAGCATAATGTACCTGATATTGCATGCACACTATTCAATTTGAATATCTTACCAAAAAATAGATTCAATCTATTAACTCCTGTTTGTGCTTCAGCCCAGTTGAACAACTTATACCAAGGTTTGGATTCATCGTACAACGCATTTTTAATAGCTGCTTTAGCAGTATCAATTTTACTAGTCATTTTAAAATCTGGTAAAACTTCAAATAACAGTTTACTAAAAAAAATAAAATAGTAATTATAAACATAAAAATACTATACATACAGATATTATGATAATGTAAGACATGTGCTAATCATTTAAAACCAAAAAAAAAAAAACGGTACGTGACAATAGGAAAAAAATGATTAGTAAAATTCAAATCTTAACTACCTACATGAAAATGGATTGAAATTCAAATGCCAGAATGGCAAGACATGAACCTAATGCACTTCAATAATTACTCGCGGGTAGACTTAGTTCCAACGTTTAAAACATTTTTAAACACTTCGAGGTCAAACATTTGGATACATTATTAAAATAAGGTTAAACAATCGTACTAATTTATACACACCTGAACACTGATGTCTACTAGCTCACCGCTGTCGTTATCACCGGCCGAAACGGAAAAACGTGAGAAGCGAAAATCGCCAAAAACGGAAAAACGAAAATATTGATCGATTAATTATAAAACTGCTGGCTAACCAGACTAGGAATCAGAAAAGGTACGTGAAAACTGTAAACACTAAAAATCAGCGATCTCAATAATAACTGCACGATGGACAAGTACCTGCAGGCTACACGACTTATAGAATGTACGTACCGAGATAGTAATGGAACTACGGCTGGCCGATTCTGTAACCGCGGCTGTGGTACACCGCGTTAACCTTGATCCGTGTCTGCACAATCAAAACATCGAAACGTCTGTAGGCGACCGAAGTGTTTTATAACAGCAACAAGACCTACGAGCAGGTTGTTCCCCAGCACGGCCGCTGCCGCTGATGCCGTTGCCGCCACCACCGGTTGAATAACACGTTGGGTTGCCAATTTTTATTTACGGATAGCCGGGAAACCAGATATTTATAAGCGAGACTTGACAAAAAAAAAGTGGGACATACCTACAAATTTACAGAAACGAAATAAAAACGATTTTAATAATTCTCATAAGCTTTATTTAAAATTTAAAATAAAATCAACAGAAAAATCGCTATTTCTAAGTAATCATCAGAAGTACTTTTAACAAAAATCGGTAAATAAAGCATTCTGCTCAATTTAGAGTATCCTATCACAAGATAATTAGTTTTTATTTTAAAAAGAGTACCTAATTTTCTTGTGATTAGGCACATTTGAACATTTTTTGATTTTTTACAACATGTTATTAGAAAAGTCTACAATTGCACTGAAACTAAATTTTTACAAGCAATTCCGCCTTAAGGTTGATTCACACATATCAGTCACGAGACAGTGATGTGTTGGATCAGAGACAGTCAAGTCACCGTTTTTGACTGTTCAGTCATGTCTGTTACATATTTATGAATTACCGATACTGATCTGTTCCGAGGATCGAGTCAGTTGTGTTGAGTCTGTTATACCAAAAACGCATATTAATACTTCTTTGTTTATTACTATACAGTAGTCACTCGATAATTTGAAATTCAGAGGACTGAGCTAAAAATTCGATTATAGAGGTTTTCGATTTACTGAGTGTTCGAATAATGAAAGGAAAAAATTAATTCGAATTAAAGAGAGGTGAAAAATGATATGTATATATTACATTTATTAACTGACATTTATTTATTATACATATTATATTATTTTTTACATTTATTAAGTGACATATATTTATTATATTATTATATTTTAGATTTTAAAGGAATCTGTTCTTTTTTTTTGTGTTAAATTTTTGGCCACAATCTGGTCCATAACGTTATCTAACTTACTGATAGCATTAAAAATTGTATAGCATCCTTTTTCGTCAATTTCAGAATGTTCGAAAAATGTTCGCAATCTTGACATAAAAATGGTAAAATTATACGATTAAAGTTTAGATTAGGTAGGTAAGGTACGATAAAATTTATAAACTACGATAATATTTAATTGCTGTCGTTATAAATTTCATTGCGAGTACGTCAAATAGATGTACATATGAATATACTTTATACATATGAACATACGTATAACCGCGTAAAAGCAAATTCGAATTATAGAGGTTCTAGAAAAAAAATTCGAATTGTAGAGTGAGTCCCACTAACAGACATTTCGAATTATCGAGGGGACTGGAATACATGTATTTTCTTCTAATTATAGAGGTTTTCTTAGGGGACTAAGCGTTTAGTTTGATTTATGGAGTTTTTCGAATTATCGAGTGACTACTGTATTACTATATTTATTATATTAACTACGTGAATATGACAAATTTCACTGACGAAGACCTGTGTATAATTGCAATCATTTTAGACGAGGAAACAGAACAAACGTCCAAAAGACGAAAGTGGGTACATGGGGCAAGACAAAAAAGAATTGATTGAAGATGGAACTAAATTTTATCAATATTTCAAAATATATATTTTTACAAATTGAACAGCACTTCATACTGTCGAACACATTCAATACGATGTTTTAACCTGTACTAATTGATGTTCATCGAAACAAAAAGGTTAGGTAAGAATTTAAAACTTCTCGGTTCTGTGACCGAGGAAAAATCTACGGATCGGATTCGGTTAGAAAACTAATGAGTATAAATAACGCTATTTAAATTTAGCAAAGCGATATTTTCCCAGAAATTGATCTGATTTCTCGGAACTGAACCGTCTCGTGACTAATATGTTTGAATCACCTTTTAACTTCAACACTCAGTCTATTTCTTGAATTCCTCGAGGTGTTTCCACCAGGCACAGCTCAAGGGGTAGGTGACATAGGCCCACGCTTAGGGCGGCATTTTTCCTGGACAATTTTTATGCATAAAAAAAAATATTTGATAAAATATTTACACGTAAGGGGCGGCAAAACCTAAATTTCGCCTATGTTTGTTTAAACACTTAAGCCGGGCCTGGTTTCCACTAAGTGATAATGCCCTCCCAACAATAGCATTTAAATATGGAATAAACACAATAAACTGGGAAATTTTTAATAAATTCGGTATATTCAAATATTCAAAAAATTAATGCAAAGTTTCATAAATAGTCATATAATGACACGTTCCGGATGGTACTTGTTGTCACGCGCAGTAACTGGTGGCAATTCACGTGTTTCGTCCGGTACTCTCTTGCGACATTTGTAGTGTACGGATTTCCGTGGCGTAGTTACCGCAAGGGCAACAGAAGCAGTTGCCTCGGGGCGCATAATTTTTAGTACATTTTTTAACTGGTGTTAATTTAATTTTTTAATAATATTGTATTGGTATCATATTTCATTTTTATTATTATAATTAATATAAATTGATCACCTTTGTCTACTACCTGCACAAGTTGTGGCAAACAACTGCATTTTTGTAAGATTTGTCGCAGTGCCATCTGGAAAACAGTTTTTTTTTAATAAAAATTAGTAGGGAATCCCATTTTTTAAACTATTTGTTTAAAACGATACTTTAAAGATAGCGGTAAACAACATCAATTCTTTGTTGTCGACGATCTCTGAAGTTCACAAATGATTTTTGTCACGATTTTCTTTTTTAGATCTTCTTTGATATAAATTACAAATCAATTCAAATCTTAAAATTTTTAATTTTATTAAAAAAAAAAAAATACATATTAGATTTTAGAATGTTTAATAGAAATTTGTGAATTAGAATAAGTGTAAAATTTTGGCATGTTTTTCTTTAATCATTTTTTCAATATTTTGAGTAAAATGTGTAACGCCTAATTTCTCAAGGAGTATAAATGTTCATCAGTTAAATGAGATCTTTTTGAACATTTTGCGTAATACATGCGGGAAAATGTATGTTCACAAATATAAGTAGTACCAAATAATGTAAATATATACTTTGATAATTCTTTTATTTTTGAAAAATCATCAGGAAATGTTCACATGCCGTTTTAAATGACGAAAACAGACTAATGACAAGTGTTGAAATATTCAAAACTTCTAATGCACATAATAAAAGTCATAAATTAAATTAGTGGTAAAAGATAATATTATATTATATTATACATCCAACGACGAAGGGAGGGAGCAGTGGGAGCAAGTTCCCCTTGAGATTTATCAATTTGGTTAAAATATGAAAAGTTTTTTTATATAGACGAAAGATGCAGTGGTAAATCTTCCCATGGCTAATATTTACTTACAATGTTTTTTGCTTTCCTTTAGCTCAGTGGTTCTTAACCTGTGGTCCATGGTCCTCTAGGGGTCCACGATACTCATGTCGGGAGTCCGCGGCAGCCTTAATAACGTGTATACGATTGCATTCTTTATTTGCTAATTATCCAATTTCACGGTTACATATGATATAATTTTATCATAGAACCTACTAATATCAATAACAACACGTTCAAAATTTGAATAGGACCAACTTCGCGGTTACGTTTGGTTTCTGTACTAATGTATAATAAATTCTTTAATTATCCTATGGGAATCAGGTGTAATGTATACGTATACCACTATATAGATAATAATTTATCAAGGATACGATGACATAAGTTCAGCCCCAGAAAAGCGTCACGCCATCGGGGGTCGAAAACATTGTTGGAAACCGCTACTATACAATATAGACTACACTCATATTCATTATTTAATCATTAATTAACTTGATTAATTTTGGTTTTCGAATGAAGTTATTCAAAAAACATTAAAATGTTAAAAATATACAATGCTATTTTGTAAAAGATTCATTTCATAACTTATTAATTTTAGAAAATGTAATAAATAATTACTTATTTGTTATTTCATAAACGTACCTAAATTGCATAACTTGAGCGCCGTTAGATTTGCACAATAACTGATATTTTCCAATTCAATAACCGTGCTAATCGTAATTTCATACTACACATTAATATTTTTGTTCGTAAAAATACGTATCTATTTAAAATTATTACCATCAGAGACAATAAAATTAAAAAGATTAAAATACGTAAGACTGAAAAAAAAATTAAAAATAGCTCATTAAAACTAATTTAAAGCAAGATAAGAAAAAAGGTAATATGAAATATTGAAAAATATATCTTACTTATGATGGCGTACAATTTCAAAATTACAATTCGATTAATAATTGTATAGTATAATGAACAATTCCAATTTTCATATAACGAATTTTAATTATCTCTGGTAATAGAAAAATTAAATCAAAGTTCTTAATTTTCAATAAGTTTCAAATTCAATATAATAACGAAATCGTGATACAAACATACCTGTAAAACGTCATATTAATCTCTCCAATTTTCAATCTGTAAATAGCTTATATTAATACTCCATATTTATTTTTTTTACTCAACTTAAAATATAACTTTGTAAAAGTTATAATATACAGCAACTGTATTACATCATCACGATCTTTAATGCGATATGCGTTGCAATCACGTAGATCTTCCTTTGCAATAATTTATCCATTCAAACGGATTCGTCATTACAATAGCAATTTACCAATTGCATACAATTCAACATGTAATGACGGTGCTCGAAATGAAAAATCTGCCAGCGTATTAATCAAATGAAACAATGAACCCGATACAGGGTTTACAATTGTGTGCACAATTTGTTGTAGTATAAAAAAATAAGCTGCGCCCTATAAAAGTTTACAGTAAGATCTTGTATACCGGAATCACAAAAGCAATTATTTGCGCAAACGAATATCGTGAAATCGGTTAGTATTAAAAATACGGAGAAAATCGCATAATTTTTAAATGATAAAATCAATTTTCGGAGGGCTCATCTTCAGGCGTAGAACACGTCCTAGACGTTTTGTTAAAACAATGCAGTGGTTGTTAAGTATTGAACATAAGACCGTGGTCATTGGTGACGATTGAGCGTTACGAACGGGTAAAAATGTTTTTTCGCACGTCCATGAACGCGATGATCTATTTACATTGTACAGTGGACATGTGTGCGCGCGCGCCACCGACTGTTTGCGGTGCAGACGCGCCTGTTAAAATATTGTACAAGCGCAAACTTATACGCATGGACAAACACGGCGGTCGGTTAATCGAACCGGCCCGCCATCATTGTTTATTAACACGTTATTGTTATTATTATTACTCGTTCGTTATTACCGTCGCGCGCGCGGTGCCCACCCGCGGTCAATTGGTTTGACCGCGTGACGAAAATTACATCGCACCGTTTCATTAGAACATTCCGTCGTCGTCCGCGGTTTATTTTTTTCATCGCGTTCGCAGCACGCGTCGTGCTTATCGCGTCGTCCCGTTTTTTACACGACGTACCGGAAGCTCGGGTTCCGACCGCGGTGCCCGCTCGTTCATCGCAGCTGCAGCATCGTTCGCGGTCCGTCCCGATCAGCGCTGTCGAGGTCGTATGCGTTGGGATCGAGTGAACCGCGGGTATACAACGGCGAACGCTGAACCCGGGTCTATAATTTTCGGTTGTTCGTTGTACACTCCACGTATAATCGTTTGTAGACTCTTGGCCACTCCAAACAGTAATATTCCGTATTCAGTTCAAACCGATTTTACGGCGTTCGTGTTGTATGCAAATGGCCGTTTTTATATTATCCTGTGAATCGTGGATTTCGAACGTACCTGTATTTTTATTTGTTTTCATTCCTAAAAATGTATACACGGAAAAATAAATATTCTAGCCGATGAAACGTTTGCTCGACTTTCGTGTCGTACGTTCCAATAAATAGTGACGATGCGCGCTTTCAAATCCCGTGGTGCACACGCTGCTTCACTTTTATTTTAATTTATTTTATTCTACTGCGCGCATGGTACGCGCGTGGTTTTAGGCCCTGACGGGGGCGCAAACCTCGTATTGCGTCGTCGCCGTCGCTTTTCGCGTGGCACCGAAAGTTCGGGTTTCGACAGAGCCCACCCGTTGCTCATCATCAGCAGCATCATCAATCGCCGCGACCGTCTCCGATAGCGCGGTGCGTCGTACGCGTCGCGAGTGCGTGAACAGCGTACCGAACACGCGAGCACCAAGCACGTACACTTGTTCCGCCGCCCTTATCGATTTTCCGAACGGGGCCAAACGGGCGCAACGGCGCTCCGGTTGTGCTGGACGCAGTCTTATACACGAAAAATATCAGTCCCGACGTACCGTCCGTCACGGTCAGGTCCGCGTTGTCGACTTCGCCGTGCGCCCGTTGCACCACAGCCGTCTTCCGGTCGCTCCGCCGGACCACGTACGCGCGCCGACAGTTTAAGGTTGCAGTCAGTACGACGTCGATTACACGTAATTATTATTAACATTATTTTTCTCACAATAAAATCAAACCGCTGTACGGGTTGGTATTAACATCTAGGACGGTAGCTGCATCCGAGTTGTCCTGACATTTATTTTTTATCTTTTGGTTCAGCACTATTTGGGTCCCCGATCACTTAAAATATCTATAGGCTATACTATACTAATCGGGAAATTTTGGGTACCAGTTGTTTTATGAGAAGCACTAACATTTACCTTTAATTTTTAACATACTTGTGGTCGAATATTGATCATAGACTGTTAAAAATCTGTTAAAATGTGATGAAAAACGTTAAAAGACCAAACTAGAGTAGCACCAAAAATAATCCGGGATCCAAGTTGTATACTACTCTTTACTACCTCTTGGTGTTTTGGACCCAACTCGGATGCACCCAAGTCCGCCGACTTTCACTCGGTTCAGCTTTCCGTTATCCCGTCATCCCTGCTGCCTCTGTATATACTCGAATATAACTTTCGGTCCGGTAGTCGATTTCTACGAGAATATAATTTGTATCATTACGTTTTTTAAAAAACTTCGTGGACCATAAAATTATTAAATCAAAAATTCAAATTGATGGCTATAGTTAAAATTAATGTATTTTATCGCTCTTATAAAAATTGATAAAATTATTATGCTAACGTTATACAATTCGTCCGCAATAGTAACAACTTCGAATGAAATTTAAATATTTTAGTTCCACAAAAACGTGTACGTAACATGTACGTATATCAAAAGAATGAGTGACTATCGTTAAATAAATCAACTCTTACGTACATTATCTATCATATAGTAATAATAATAAACCGTCGACGCATTATAATAATATTCGTATACGACGCTTGCGTTAGCACCATAATTTGTATTGTAATGACAGCGTATATTTTATTTTAACCGCACTTGTCTACTTGTCAATGATCGTTTATAATCTTAACGTTATGATTTCGGAGATCGTTCATTTATGGAACGGTTTGGTTCATTTTGAAACCGATAATGAAGATAGCTGGTTTCGAAATCATCAACCAAATCATCTACAAATTTACTTATTCGTTTCTCCCGTTCAATTTTTAACTATAAAATATATTAATAGAATTCTAAATGTATCATCAGCAAATAATATCTTTGTTAAATTAGTTGTGTTATTACTTAGCATAAACATTAATAGTTAATTGAAAGAAGTTTTCTCGAGTATAAAAAACAAAACCTATTATAACAATACCAGTTATTATATCTGTATGCTATTGTCTAATGATATAGAAAGATTAAAAGTTTTATTATTTTCAAAAAATTCATTTTTAATCCATCGGTACAACAAATATATTGAATATATCATATATACTACGTCATAACATGCTATTAATTAATAATTGAACTAGGTACATGAAATCAATAATACTACCTAATATAAATAATTCTTTATAGCCAGTTGAAGGTCTCATGAGAATTTAGATGTTCCTATAACAAATCGATTTTATAAAAGCATATTCCTAAAATAATTAAAACAAAATTTTAAAATTTTAAATATTTTATAATTACAAATTAGTAAAAATGCATTTTTTGTACTTTTTAAGACGTTTCTTAAATGTATTATTCACAATACATTTTACATTTCATAATATAATACTATAAAGAAATAAACAAAATAATAATAATATAATTTAAAATATTTGCATAATATACAAATATAATAAATATTTGTTTCTCTTTAAACAAATGTTATTATCTTTCTGAATAATTTATGATTGATAATTACTGTATTTTCTGTAAGTTTTGATCTTTTTCAATTTTTATTAAAATTATAAAATATTATTTTCTCTTGGCATTAAAAATAGTTTATGTTTTATATAATCATTACATTTAAAATATTTAAGCTGTGTTGAATCATTAAAGCAATCATAATCAAAAACATTTAATTTAAAATAAAAAAATTAATACTCTTTTTCAATTCTAGAAAACAATTGTTCCATATCGTTTTCATAAATAATTATCTACTACAGCTGATATTCGTCAATGTTGTGAAATATTTACGTTGAAGTGCAGAATTTTGTTTCAGCATACAAATAAGGACAACGAAAATGAATCACATATTTATTTTAACGACTTCATTAACACCATATGTTTTCATAACAGGATATTGAATTATGAATTTTGAAAATACTGTATGTACATTACTATGGTTCAAGTAGAATATATAGTTCTACAGGGTGAAACAATATGAATGGTTTTCGTATGTTATTTATACATGTGGTATTTACAAGAAACCAATTCATCATGGAGATGACTATATGTCGCTTATCAATTACTCAGTTATTTGTTTTTCATTAACCAAAATGTTTTAATTATTGTTAAAACATTATATAGGTTTCAGTTATGAATCATCTTATTACAAATTACAATATTGTACTAACTATGTATATATTTCTTTAAATGGAGAATAAAATATGTTAATATTTACATATATACATATTTATATTTATACATAATATGTTTGAGGCTTAAGGAAATAATATATATTTATTCCTTATTGTAGTTAAGAATACTTTCAATAAATAACTATTTTTTTTTGAATATTTTTTTTTTTTTTTGAGTCTTTATTTAGTCTTTAAGACCACCCTTCTCTATCTAGTGCTAGATTTCTCTAGTTCGAACCACCTTCTATCTGTTCAACATCCTTTTTTATAACATCTTCCCAGCGAATCTTAGTCTTTCCAGAAACCTTCTACCTGCAGGATTTTGTTAAATCACTGCATGTAGTAATGAATTTTGGTTCCTCCAATCATGGCCCGTCCACCGTAGTCTTCTTCTTTTGCGAAAATCTTAAAGAACAACAAACGATAGACACAGACGATGTGAATGATGTATAGAGCTAAATTAAGCAACTACTACAAGTAAATAAAAATTACTGGGTAATATTGTCTAATTTTAATATTCGTTAACATTAAAAATCGCTAAAATAATTTTTCGATTTAATAAGGTTTATAACAAAATATATTATAAAATACTTAATATTATTAGTAAATAAATAATATATGAGAGACAACAAATGTAGAATTTAATTATTTGTTTTAATATTGTACTTGTCTCTAAACTTGATTTTATACAACATTCACATTACTTATATAAAATCAAGTTTAAATACAAACATTACATAATATCATTAACATTCACATTATTTGCGTTTTATTAAACATTTCATTATGAAAATCGATTTTGTTTTTGCTTTTAATTGCAATATAATTTTTGTTTTAAGCTAATTATTTTTTCATAGAGAACTCAAATACACTAAAATAACAAATCGAAAACATTTTTAACTTCACGTATCTATGAGTTGGTAAATAATAAAAAATATCCTTTTCTATAGCGATCATTCATCAGTCACCAAAGTCTGTCTTATCTTTGGTAAATACCAAATGACATCACAGGAAACGAGTGCAGTATGTGATCCTTATATAAATATTGAATATTGATTATACTGATAACGAATTTAACGCGCAGAGCAGCAAACATATTTTAGACCTAGGTAATAAATGATGCATGTCAAACCGAATACTATAATAACGTACAATATATACATTAAATATACAATACCTGTCCGTTATTAAGAATGCACTTGAACGAAAATTGATAAGTGTAAAAGATTTAAAACGACAGTACTGTCGTAACCTACATATGTATATATATATAAAATATCGCGTGCAAAAAGGTTTTACACATCACGGAATATGATAATTAATAATATAATGTAGGTATGCGGACGAAAAATAAACAATTCGAAACGAGTTGATTGATAGTACAGTCGACATGGATGCAGCAAAGTACATAATTTATAGTAAGTTTCTTTGTATATTATATTATGTTTAAAGCGTATTACAACATATATTACTAGAGCGTTTGATATAAAGTGGTTGCCGCGCTGTACTAAGGTGCATATAGTTGCCGGTTCGAATCCGATCGCCGGTAGTGTTTCGCTTTTCACCGTCGATAGAAATCGATACCTTTAACCAGTTATCTCCTACCAATAAGAATACAACACGGGGGCACTAATAAAATAACAATAAAAAATAAATATAACATTGTACAGAGCGCATATTGGGTTTAAATTTAATAGTGAAAATATGGAACGCCTATTTATTCTAAAATCAATTCCCATCTTGGTAGGCTGTCACTTTGAATCTTTTTCACACAATTATATAATAACTAAATAGTTTTCTTAAAAATTATGCCGGTAGTCATGTAAATTGTAATTTGGTTCATATTCATTAGTAGTATTACTAGTATATCAATATTATTACTAGTGTAGTAGTAACAGCATCAGTGACGGGTCGTGAGGTCCCCATAAGATGATGCACAGATAAATTGTAAGATACCTTTGTAGATAGGTAAAATTTAATTTATCAATTTAGTAGATTACATACTAAACGTGCAAGTTTTGAGCAAACAAATGCCTTAAAATGACTTAAGCTCCAATTAATCATTGACTGTTTTTAATTTTATATCATAATATCATATAAAAATATGATATTAATTTTAATAAAAGAAGATTAAATCTTTTTCTGTCTCCTTTTTAACCAAATGTCAAAAGTTAAAATCTAAATTCAATAAAATTAAAATATACATGTTTTGGACCCTCCCGAAAAAAATTTTTAGATACGGCCTTGCTCTTGCATTTGGATGGACTTCCGTTCAAAGCAAGAGTACACAATGCGTAAATATCCATATTGTATTCATAGCTCAATGAGCGTGTCCAGTGCACGCGCGTATGGACACATCGGATACGGTTTTCCGGTATGCGTAGTAATTGGCTTTCAAAAACGGTCACGAGTACCTCTAAATGAATCAAATAACAAGAATCTATTCCACTGATACTTTTTAGATTATACATTGATAATCAATTGTTTCCTTCAAAATAATATTGTTATAATTGTGTATTATTACTGTTACCTATAAATGTGTATTACTATTATATATTTTAAGTATAATATGCATATTTTCTACATTGGAATCATTTTTATATACGTATACGTATAACATTTGACAGTGTGTATTCGACGTTCAACCATATTTACGTAACGCACAAAAATGTTTCAGGTTTCACGCGGAAAGTGCGGAGCACCGTGCGGCGGGAAATGCTGGACAGGACGAGCGTGTCCGGTGAGGATATCCGGTGGCGTCGACGTCGTCACCGTTTGCGGTTCGCGGTCGACATTGCCGCTGACTAGCGACCGTAGTGCACCATCGCCCGGAAAAAACTCGCCGCGGCGGCTATAGCGATACACCCGAGCTGCGGCGATGGGCAACCTGCAAAGCTCAACCCCGCCAACACGTGGCGTCGGCGGCGGCGGCAGCACCAAGAGCCGGAACAAAAAGCCGTCGGTGACCGGAACGACTCGGGATTGGCTGTTGGGGGGCGCGACGAGGGCGCTACGGAAACCAGTCGCGCCAAAGGTGGAGGCGATGGCGGCGGCGGCAGCGGGTCACGTGACCGTGACCAGTCGTGACCTCCACCGGCAGCAGCAGACTCCCCCGACCCGCGACGATACCGATCGTCGTCATCATGCAGATGAGCAACAACAACAGCACCGGCAGGAGCACCACTGCACTACTAGTCGTCGCCGCCGCCTCCACCACGACGACGACGACCGCGACCGCGACGAGTCGACCGCCAGTTCTTCGACCGACGAGGAGTCTTCAGTGTTTGCCGACACGCTGACTAGCCCGCAGAGCGTGTACTCGGACGCCAGAGACGAACCGGACGACGACGACGATCGCGACTCAATGGTGGTGAACGGCGGCGAAAGGCTGGGCGGCAGTGCCGGGCGCACGGCTTTCACCATCGTCAAACACCGCAAAGTCGAACTGAACCCGACCAAAATACAGTCGAATGTCGCAAACGGTGAGTTGCTTTTCGCACCATTTACGGCACAAGATTATCATATATATACATGCGCGTGTAAATACGATGATGACATTTTCCCGAAACTCCCACCTCCCCCGTACCGAAGGTATTTTCTTTTTCACCTGGAGGGCTAAGCATAAGGGATTCAAATTTACGAACGATGGTTAAAGTATTCGTAAGAAGTAATTTTTTTATTTCATTTACTCGTTGATCAGTTTGAAATAAATACCGACCGTTTTCACCTATATAAAATCTATAAGATTTATATGAACGCAAATGAATACGATTCCGAACACCAATATTGGTGATATTTTAATGAAATAATGTGGCGCAACATTGAATAAGACCACGCGAAATACAGGTTTCGAGTGAAAAAAAATACTCATTAAAATAATTATTTGTCTCATATTTTTCTTCAAATTTAATTTACAAACAAATCATAAGTTATACACCCTTCTACACTTTATAAGTAAAAATCACAAAAAACAAATAACGTAAGAACAGGGAAAAATGTTAAATCTTATAGGTATTATGCTTAAAACTGATAAATGTTTTGTAACAATATCAATATTATATTATCTCTGATTAATTCTGAATCTAAAATAAACTATGACAAAATAAAAATAATTAATTAATTTATAAATTACGTTAAATTTTTCGTAGAAAAATAATTTTGCAAATAACAATTATAATCAAATTTAAAATATTTATTAACACGAAAATTAAAAAACCTATTATATTTTGTACATTTCATTATATTGAATAGACATAACGATGAACCTAAAATATTACCATATGTGCCTAATATTTAATTTATTGAATGTCTTGATTCTTTAATAAATAAAATGAATTACTAAGACATAAAATTCCTGGAAAACCATTTTATTTTAGCTTTAGAAAAATGTATGTTGTATTATATTACCTAGATACTATATTAATGAATAATAAACCATTAATTAACGCTTGTGTGCTTTACAATTTCACTTCTACGTTCAAAACAATAATTTGAAATTACACCTTTAAATATAAACACATTCATTACTGTTTTATTATTGACTTTTAATTAAAATTAAATTTTTTTTAAATAACTATAGAAAAATATTGATATTTATACATGAGTGGTCTACAACTATTGGGATGATATAGGTATATTGTAAACAATAAATATGTTTAGTATAGTATAAGTATAAGCGTACGCAGATATTACTGTCAGGGTAGTCATACATAACAAATTAACATTTAAATCAACAAATTTGGATGGAGTAACTTAATTTAACTTAATAATTATATTTTTCCAATATTCTTATACATGTATTGACCGTTTATGGATATTTCGAAGTGGGCGAACATAATATGGTTATTTATTATTGTGATAATATTGAATATTTTGGTGAGGGAGGGAAGATTCACAGAGTAGTCAAGTACCTACCCTGACTACCCAGTAGGCACGCTTAAAAGTATAAGTATATAGTATAAGGCTTGAGTCATATATACATACAATACATAGTTAAATTCTTGAATAAAAATAAAAACTATACATGAGTATAATTATGTAATTATTTTGTAATTATATATTAAATATAACTTAGCATACTATTAAGTTTGATTTGCAATTATTATATATAATTTGAAAATTGCCTGAAAATATATTCTATGATTAAAATGAAAGGGAAAATCACTTTACAAATAAGTGTAAATTTTGTTCTAAATACCCCAGAAAAAAAATGTAAAGTATTAAGATCTTTTAATATTTTTATCTCAAACAATTTTACGGTTAATTTATTTTTACATCTGCATAATTAGTATCAAACCAAACACATTTGATAATAAATAAACAGTGGGTACCATAATAGTATACGTGCAGACTGAATTACCAATCGATCGCGATAAATGAAGTATTGAATGAAATATTCGCTTCATATGCCTTTTTGGAATTTATGTTGTATATTTAAAATAACAACTTCGAGTTTGTAAACAAATGGTTGCAAAATATCGTTTTCTTCTCAAATAATATGAGCAAAAGTAGTATCATATTATTGTACACCTATCAAGAAAACCACACAAAGACAATATAATATAATACGGTTTCCCTCGTACAATGTTATACATTATTATAATCATCGAGTAACAATAAAAAAATAAGTATCATTTCCATAAAAATCATCTAATCGTGAAAATATACACATATATAATAGCCAACAACTGTACCTGCTAACAAAATATAATAACATGTACTTACGCGTATGAAGATAAATTATAGACAAGAAATGTACTATATTAAAAAGCAATTATTGTACGAGTCTAAATTATCGCTGTATACATGATTTTTTTTTTTTACAAAAATGTGTGCTTATAATAATTTTACTTTTGTATAAACATAATATATATGGTCTTAAGGATTTTTTTTAGAAAGTACATAAGATATTTTATAACTTTTAATTAGTCAAAATACTTATCTGAAAATAGGTACATGAGTTTTAATAAATTTAAATAAGTCAACATAATTTACTATACTACTTAACACTATAAATCACAGTAAGATCTTAATAAAATTTAATTATATTTTTCGAATAAAATAGAACAAAATTTAACCTTTTTTAAATGCATACAAAAACATTTTATATAATTTAAATAAGTAATAAAATTATTAAAAATTATTTTCAAAATGTATTTAAATACATTTAACTTTAGAAAATAATAAAACGTAATAAACAATCGTATATTTAATTAATAAATATATGTATAAAACTCTTGAAAGAAATAAATCATTACAGAACTTAAATTAATCAAATAAAATAATAACTGAATATATATTAAGTAGTTTGAAAATCCATTTTTATAATATTAAGTGAATCGTAGATAAAGTTATAACTGGTAGAGTTCAAGTGGTTAAGTTATAATAATGTTCAGATTTAATTTGACAAAAATAGAAGATAAAGTGATATAATGGGTCGCAAACGTACACAATATTTTGCAATATGTTTTAATGACAAGTAATAAGCAGAGAAGTTTACATACATGGAATATTAGTGGGTTATGTAATAATCAATGACGTATATAATAGTATTTTGAACATTCAAATATAATCAAGACTTCTTAATCTAAAATTATAAACCAGTATAAATATCTATAAAATTGTTGGTTTATTGAATAATTTATAAGAATTATTTGACTGTTTCTCGCAGGTATCTATTTGTTTTTTGTTCTTTTTTTTTTCTGCTCAACATCTTGCATCGCCTGTACTCTTGTTTTTCTTGAAATACAACACTTACAAAAATAGATTCTATATTGTGTTAGAACATTGTGGGAAAAGTTGAGAGATAACATGTTTGCACTCCCACTGTCTAGACACGTTCCTAAGGATATATGTTAATGTAGAAGTATGAATAATCAACCGATAGTAGTATTTAAATGGAGGAGTCGTTTAAGCCTCTGGCCTAAGTAATAAATTTAATTGATACATAATATCCGTATTTACTTTTTATGCAAAGAACTAAACTATTACACCGATAATAAGGAAACATGGTTAACATAATAAAAATTGTACATATTATATTCAATATACTTCTATATCTATTGAAGAAATTATAAAAAATAGATATTTGAATAATCATAGATGATAATGAACGTAAAAGAAAAATAGCGAACTCGTGTAGTACTGTAGAAGTATAATTATCTTCGATTCTTAATAATATACTTTTCTCATATATTAGCTCAAAAAAGTAACGTAAATTTTGATTTTTTCTGGAGAATGTGTTTATGTGTATTATGTGCATTGTACTACATTGGTTAAAAATTTCTAATTGAGAATAATATTCAAGATATGCACTGAAAAATCTCATTACTGTTTGGTCATCACGTACAATCTAAAATGAGATAAAATATATCTGCTTCGTAGAATTAGCCAGCCAAGTCATTCTATTATGATGACGTTGAAATCTTAATATACTTTTCGGTAAATTAATTTTGTGTGGGAGTGATGTAAACAAAAAACGTAATTTGATTTATAATTCTTTTTACGGAATATACGGATTATTGCGTGATTACAATCCTCATATTACAAATGTTTGATAAAATAAAATATTTAAGTTATTTTACAATTTAATAAATTAACCTAAATTTGCATGCAAATGTACTCATTATAGACTGTAAAGTAGTGTTAAAACTTAAAATAAATTATTCTCATTATATGTAATTATTCTCAACGGTAGTTTATACATGATATTATGTACAACACTACACCAGTACACAACTGCACTAATCAGAACAAAAAGTAAGTTAATTATATTATCAAAATTAATAAAATATTATAATTCGCAAAATAATTGAATCAACAATAAGCACATCAAATTTATTATAATAGTATAATAGTTACATATATTTATAATATTTGAACGTTTCTATATACAACGGTATACGTCCATACATTTATAAAAAATAGAGAGTGCAAACGAACCCATGCAAACATATCGATATTATCACGTTCTGTTTATTCGGTTACCGTTTGAGCCCCGCAGTTAACTAAAATATTACGGAAGTTTAGTTAGTGCTGTAGGTAGGTACAAAAATATATCAAGAATTGCGCGCATAAACATAGTACCTGTATCTTATATTTGGATTGGGAAAAGAAACTCGTACGTAGAATCAACACATTCACACCCGTCACCGCGTCGTCAACGTAAACACTACCAAGAGATAGGAAACGACTATCGAGCTCAACACGTCAAATACTCGCACTATCTCGTCGTATAGATATTAATATAAAATATAATAAAAATACTGTCTAACCTCTATATTTTAACGAAATTTGGGGGTTCTCTGAAAAAATTCGTTAAACAGAAATGTCGTTGAAAAGAATTATAATTTTTTTTCGTCTAAAAAACTCGTTTTTAGCGTACCTCCGAATTGTATATAAATTATAATAGGTATGTTGTAAATGTGATGTGTATGATAATAATGTATACGATAACAATAATGTTTTAATGTAATAAATAATA